GCTCAACTTCGATTCTGAGATTATAAATTGTTAATCGTGGATACCTTCATGAATATTCATGGCCTATTTTAGGCTGGTCCGGCAACATTTTTGGAGATGCTGATTCAAAATGCCCTTGCAAGCAGCAGGGTGACTAACCTGGTACAGCGAGCAGTCACAAAATGAGAGGTCACTGATCTCGTTCACGTCTCGTTCATAACTTCCTTCTATTCGGATTTCAACGAGAATCGACGCGTAAACACGACATGACATAAAGCGACAGTTACGTGCGAGTTTTGCCAATGAAGGATTCATGTATTACCGTTTTTTAAACGGTGATTTCGTAGTTCTTCTGATGATGGCATTATTTAGCAGTCCAATGCATTGATTTGTTGTTTGGCTATTTGTGAACAGGAATTGGCGGGAGTGGGAAATGCAAATTTCCCTTCACAGAGGGTTATTTTATATCACGCGTGTTTGCTATTGACGAAGCTGGGACCATCACACATTGTCACCATCGGCCATGGTCAATCCACTGCTGGATGAAGTCATCCCCAACCTGCCGCGCTCTCTCAGGCGTGAGAGCTTTTTCACCCCGCGTGTTATCCGGTTAGCCGCGGGCCCAGCGTTACAGAGTTGCAGGACTCAGCCCTCTGACGTAGGTGGCAAACAACCTGTTTTGCCACACTGCGCTTTGAAACCCAAAAATATGACCGAACAATTACGAATAAATAAGCAGCCAACTGTAAATGTGTGAATTTTTCCAGTTATCATTTGAATCATCATCGCCTTCAGTGACTGCACATGAGCTCATCTTATTCCTCCATGGCTGTGGTAGTTGTCCTTCTTTGCTTTGGCTGCCATCCTATTGTCAGTCTCATCTATGAACCATGATCCATTCTGGTGATGTGTTCTACCCGCGCTGAATTACTGCATGGTAATTTGTTATTGTTTTCCCGGCCCATGTGTTCCTCTTTCTATTTCTGTGCAAGTCCAGGCATGCATCTCTCCACGTTTCTTTTGTGTACTCTTCATATTTGTTTTAGCACCCACGCTTCTGATCCGTGTGTCATGGAATATGCACTGATTGAAAACGTTCTTAATCAAGCACGTTGATGTGTCACTTCATTATCAAATTTAGTGGAGGAGTGGTGCAGTAGTTTCACGTACGTCACTACTAACCTGGGCACCTTAGTTGGATTTCCAGCCACAGCCAACATCAGTGACAAATGGTATCTGAACTGCTTCTGGTTCCCCTCTTTCACCAACCTACCCTGGCCAGTGTGGTGAGGTATGGTCAAACAAATCCCGTGGCTGACACGGCATGGAGAGGACTTCGACCAGCAGTGGATTTGACAAATATTTCCAGTAATCTGTCTGAAATGTCACGCAATGCGATCCAGTGTAACTGGATATTCATAATTATCACCATCAGCCATGGTTAATCCACTGCTGGATGAAGGCACCCCCAACCTACCGGCCTCTCTCATGATCTTGCGATGTAACAATCCACCCAACGCCTGCACACGGATTTATGAAATTGCATCCAAACTCCTGGATACTTTTAAAAAGGCACACTAGCATGTATCTCTTTAGTGTTAAAAAAAATGCTATTATTTTTTTCTCCCGAAATTGAGGTGGGAAAAAAAGACTCATTCAGCAAAAAGTGCATTCTTTGCACAAATATATAAATAAGCGCACTGTCATGTGAGGAAGTTTTAGGTCACAAAGTCACATATCCATTAACATGCCATTTTCTGTCGATGTGGAAAAAGAATCTGGAGTTAAGAAAGGGCACTTTCTTGAAACAATCCTTTGGTCGTCCTATTGACATTCTATCATGTGATGCCCTCCATTACCAAGGTTTATAAATACGGTCCAGGGATGGGCTGTCCCCACTGGGCAATGGAACTGCAAAACCACCGTTTAGTCCGTCATAATTTAACTCCGTTTTTGCGGGTTGGTGATTTAACTTTGCAGAAGGTGCATTTTATATTACACTTCGAATAATAATCTGGTGATATATAAACTCCACGTATTACTACAAATGGAAATAGTAAAAAAAACAGCAACATACAGTGTGTGTACTTGTACGGCCCAAAAGTCAATTCAGTGCCGGTTGAGGGCCTCCCTATGCCGTACGGATCATCGGAGTTATTTGACTATATGTTACCACAGTGGTCAGCGTGGGTTGTGAAGAGGAAAGCAATAGAGTGATGTACTATAAAATAATGAAAGTTGATTACATTACAGTCCTTTGTCATCCCATTGCTGGATCACTGCCTTCCTATGCTGTATAGGTCATGGGGGTTGTTTGACTGTCGATCACCATTGTGGTAAATGCAGATTGGTGAAGGGTGCTTGCAGGACCAATTGCGTATTGGTAAAATAGCATTTAGAATAGCTGTGGCCTTTCTTTTGTTCATGTTGAATTCGTTTTTGGCAACAATTTACTCTGTTGTTACTGCAAAGGGCCTTCTTCCAACGTGTTTTGTTTGTTTTTATACGTGTCCGTTGTCTTTACGTTCAAGTCATGCGTGTTTCTCTATGACAGTTTTGCCACTCAAAGTCTTCCTGTTTGATGGCATGTGACTAAAGATCTGTGAGCGGAAACAAAAATCTGGCCACAGAATTCTGCATTTTGTTTCCTGTTATTATTTTGATATCATGGGACATACTTGTATTGCTACCATGTGACAATGACAAGTTCGGGGTCTTTAGTTCAACCTCATTTTTCCATACAGATGACAAATCACCTTTCTTTACTCACCCGAACGCCTACGGACAAATAATCATAATATCCCCTGATCTTGTCAAAAGTCAGAAACAAAGCAGGGTCGTTGAGTTTGTATTGTCCGTGCAGGCTTGGCTCCAGGACAATGAGGCCAAGGCCAATTCCAGACGAATTTAGATTGAAGATGCAGTTGCTTGGACAGGTTTCAGTGTAGCACAACTCCTCGCAAGAACTGCCAAAGGCAGAGCCCTTCGGCGTAGGATAGTCCATCTCACCGTCAACCCTCGAATAGAGGAAGTATAGAAACAAAACGGATGAGAGACTGAGCAGGAATTCAAGGTGGCCAGCAGATGGACATATAGCAATTGATTCTTGAACATATCTGGGTGGAGATTTTGAGTGTTATCCCCTTGTGTTTGTGGGCTTCCTGTCACTTCACCCATTTTTTTTTTTTTACCCACGTGCCCTTGCACTCTTTCATGCAATTGGCCAGATATCCCAGTGGAAGATAAAAGTGCAGGACTGGACAATTGCTTTCTCACCCCACTCCTGGGAGAAGGGCCTCCACTTGAGGCAGCTCTATAGACTATTCTTCCACACTAGACAGTCATCTGGAGAGTACTCACATTTTACCCCACGGCACTTGATCTGTGAATCAACTAACTGTGGTGTACTAATTTTTACAGTTTAGTGGACAGGGGGTGGTGGGGAAGGGGGGCATTTGATAAACTTGCCCACTGTCTCAACTAAAATGACGCTTTTGAAAGAGTTTTGAGACTTAATCACGCTTTCCTGGATTTAAAACGGAATTAATGTTTGCGTGTTTATGCCAAGCAGGATGAACCGATGCGCACATGACTGAGCGACCCCATTTATTTTTATCACGTAAAACTAAATTTCGATTTAAAGCTTTCGTGACTGCAGTGATTCATATTATTGGTTCTTTCGGTAAAGTCACAGCTTGTGTTGCAGTCGAAACGTCGTGAGAATTTTATTGTTATATATTTTATTATTTTATTGTTTTCCTTCAACGTGACTTTACCGAAAGAACCAAGAACACGTAAAACGAGTTTTAGCAGCAGTATTGTAGCCACGCGTTACGCACAATTCATTATTTAGATCCTGTTATTAGATGTTAACTCCCTCACCTGGTGTGCAGGAGGTCGTGGGTTTGATCCCGACCCTGACGCCTATATATTTTTAGTTTGGTGTCTCTCTCCCCATGGTCGTGTGGATTCTGCTCCGGGTCTTCTGGTTTTTCCCTCCACATTTGGAAACATGCGTTTAGAGTATTTGGCTGCTATGAAGCTAAACTGTTTTTATTTTTATTTTACCAAGTAAGGCCACTGAGTTACATAGCTCTTTATATTTCCACATGATAAGCCACTTCGTTGAGCTATCATGTGTGGCCAGGTTGCTTCTGAAAAAGGGCTATGTAGCTCAGTGGGCCTTACCCGGTCAGATGAAAAAAATGGTTTCGTTTTCATTTTCTTTCAATAGGTTGCACAATTTATCTTATTAATATTATAATTAATCCCTATACTGTGGATATTTGCAAAATATAGACCAGTATAAGATGGCATTGGGGGTGGAGCGGTGGCACAGTGGTCAGCACACTGTGCTATGAACACTATGACCTGTGGTCGATTCCAGACCTGACATCGGTGGTGAGTGATATCTGAACCCCATTGCTGGATCCACCCCCCTATACTAACCTAAACTGATCAGCGTGGTGAAGTATGGTCAAACAACTCCCACAACTAACACAGCAATTTATTGACAAATTATTTTAAAAGTGATTAATTGTTATTATATCCTATGGATTATAATACAAATTTCCCCCCATGTATGTTAAAGCAATGGTCGGGAGCACATCTTATAATCAGATGTGTGTGTATAAGACCAGATTTGTGTAAATTGGAGAATACAGTATTGTAATTAAACTCCGATGTTGACGTTGCCACTTTTTTCAAGGTGCGCGAGAATTACCTGTTCTTTGTCGCACGCTGCCGTTAACCCTATTTTTTTTTTACCATCAAGTCTGCCAAGATCAGGGTGGCAGCCTTTCCCTAACACCCTGGTGCAGCGGGCCTCTTCGCAAGAGCCCTTAAATTGAATTCTCGCGCGTTAAAGCCCCGTCTCGCAAACCCGGCCTCCCACGACCAAGCGACCCGGGGGGGGGGGGGGGGGGGGGGGGCATGGAACTGGCATCGCCGCGCCACGCGAAAGACGTGCGCGTCGTTGGGATGAACCGGCGACCATGGTTCTCTCGATGATTGTCTGGCAGATGGACGATGTCATCGACGACATCATAAGCCTGGAGAGCAGCATGAAGGACGACATGATCAACGGCTTCCTGGACCCGACGACCCTCTCCCACCCGGTGGGTAGGACGCGCCACCGTCACTTCGCTTTGCCACCGCGAGGGCGGTTTTTTTTTTGTTTGCCGTTGTCGTCATGGTTGTTGTGCTCAAGGCAAACGTCGACGAAGGTGAAGGGCTAGCAGCCGTGCCATCGCTCGCTCGTCAAACTGCTGGCGGGATGGCCTCCGCTAGAGGGAAGCTCTGGAGAGCCTCTCTAAAACGACGGTATATGTTGTGCCTACTCTTACACGCTATCCTGCCTGACCTGCCGATGGATTGCATTACACCTCCGATTAGCACGGTTGGCTACATATGTTTATTTACACGTGTTTTTTTTTCTACTTTAAAATGTGGTTGCATCCATTTATACTGCTGGGCAGACTGAAGTCCTTTTGGACATCTGTTAAAAAGCGCTTCGTAGGTCATTGTATTCCTCCAGTCTAAATACATATTTTTATTCTGAAGTGGCGGGTGTGGAATTTAAGAAAATTGTCCATTTCGTTAATGTCTAGAGTAGGAGATTGAACTAGCCACCTCTGTAATGCAAGTCCAGTCTGCCAAACCATTATAAGATGGACAGACCACTGGTTCTGTGTCGAAGGGAAACATTAAAGGCCGTGCAAGTGTACATGCGTATGTTCCATACACGAATACAGCCTGGGATTGTCGGAAAGTTAATTAGAATTTACATTTTACTTCTAATCCTTTGTGTTCGTGATACCCCTTAACAATCACACTCTCTTGTGTGGGGCCTGGACAAGATTTCAATGTACTGTGTCTCACTTCCATACAATTGTCTCATTGATGCGTTTTTTTAATGAGCACGTTATATCAATGTATTTGTACCCACGTATGGTGAGATTGCCTTATGCTCACCAAAATAGTGCTCTTGTTCATATTTGACTGTTCCAGCCGCTACTGACACTTGTAAAAAAAAAATAAACCCCCGTGACCCAGCAGAGGATTCTCAAAGGAGCCGTACATGCAAAGTACTGCAGCCACATTTACCGCGAACAAGTGTGCAAATACTACGTGCAACCAATTTATTGCTGCTATTTTTCCAGCACTCCTTTGAACATGAGATTCAAAAATCAAGGGATGTGTCCTGACCATATCAATAAAAATCCAAATAGCAATAACCATCGACATCTGCCATATGCCAGTTACCACGTTGTGACAGATTTGTTATGAGTTCAGATTAACTGGCAATATTAAAATGATGGCTTATCGCCAGTTACCACGTTGTGGCAGATTTGTTATGAGTTCAGATTAACTGGCAATATTAATATGATGGATTATCGCCAGTTACCACGTTGTGACAGATTTGTTATGCGTTCAGATTAACTGGCAATATTAAAATGATGGCTTATCGCCAGTTACCACGTTGTGACAGATTTGTTATGAGTTCAGATTAACTGGCAATATTAATATGATGGCTTATCGCCAGTTACCACGTTGTGGCAGATTTGTTATGCGTTCAGATTAACTGGCAATATTAATATGATGGCTTATCGCCAGTTACCACGTTGTGACAGATTTGTTATGCGTTCAGATTAACTGGCAATATTAAAATTATGGCTTATCGCCAGTTACCACGGTGTGACAGATTTGTTATGAGTTCAGATTAACTGGCAATATTAATATGAAGGCTTAATGCCAGTTACCACGTTGTGACAGATTTTGTTATGCGTTCAGATTAACTGGCAATATTAATATGATGGCTTATCGCTTGCGTTAGAAGTGGCACAACTTGCCCAAAAGTTAACTTTTTTTTTAAGATCACTGCATCTATTATAAAATGTAAATGTTTGTCGATGTGAAATAACATAATCCGTAGAACAGTGGGATGAGTAGTGCAGTGGATAGAGTGTGCGATTCACAATCAGAATGTTGTAAGATCAGGGATTGGCTCGTTATCCATCTGATGTCAATAAAATAACGTACCGTGTTTTCATGAAGTAGACAGTGGATTCCTATGGATAAACTCCCCATTCACCATAGGAATATGGAATTCACAAATGGCTCATAGCTGTGAACATGAGAATAGCACCGCCCAATTGTTAGTTGAGCAGATTTTTTGGTAGTATTTTTCAAGTATTATTGTGAAATGATTAACCTTCAAAGTCGGTTTTAAAAATCAACTGTAGAGTGTTATTCAATCACTCAAAACTATGACCATGTAAGTTCTAAAAGCGTGTATTTAAAAAAAAAATGTGTCTGCTCAGTCAACGCAGGCTGCATCCCAAAATAGCTGGCATCATGTCACAAGTAAGCTTTATAAGTGGCACTTTCCCGATAATTAAGGTCGCCACAAGATGAAATGCTGGAAGAGCTCAATGCACTCTCTACACTGAGCTCATCTTACCCATGTGTGCAAAAAGTAAGTTCAATTTCCCTGAAGGAACACACGGGCACAGAGAAGATGAACACCGAATAGGAAGTGGCACGACCCATTGGCGATGCTGAAAGTTTACGCTGCTGAATAATGATTGTCGGGTACAATGGACAAATAATTAATTGTTTTCTGAAAAACATGCTCGGCTTATAAGAGTATATTACAAAAAAATATTTTTAAAAATTCCAAAAGAGTCTCAAGCCCTTTTTTTTCCAGGAGGGTCCTGCATCGCGACGTTCGGCAAATGATCGTTTTGCAACCAGAGAGGCCGAAGGAAACCCACCGATATGAGGGGGCGGGATAACATTCAATAATCTCTCCAAGCGACTTGCCGTACTGCCACATTCTGGCTGCTTTCGTAGCTCTGCAGATCGAAAGTCCGATCCGTGCTCCGAAGCCCACGTGGTATCCCATCCACGTTTGTTTTAAAACTAAAGTAGACTATTTTTTTTTTTTTACCAGGCAAGGCCCACTGAGCTATGTACAGTAGATCTTTTTCAGAAGCGTCCTGGCCACAAATGATAGCTAAGTGGCTTTTCACGTGGAAATGTATTGCGGCCAAATACTCTACACGCGCATTGATTCTAAATATGGAGGGGAAAAACCGGAGGAACCGGAGAAAATTCCACACGACCACGGGGAGAGAGAAAGAGAGAACACGCAAATTACAAATATACAGCAGGCATCAGGGTTGGGATCGAACTCACAACCTCCTGTACACCAGGCGAGGTAGTTAACATCTCTCAGCCACCGCGTTTGCTGGGCCTTCTCTGGCTAAAGGACGAGCATGGGCGCCAGCTGCTCGTCTCTGCGTGTTGATCACGAGCGCAAGCAAAGCCCCGCTGTGGCGTGTGCGGCGTGCAGGTGGCCTTGCCCGGCGGACTGCTGGAGGGGTACGTGGGGCCGGGCATGGTGGTGCCGGGCGTGAACATGGCTAATGGCTCGTGCCACGGGGGCTTGCCCGCCATGAAGAGGGAGCACGCAGGGAGGGGTGAGTGTCACCACGCGTACGGGGGGTCGGGGGGGGGGGGGGGTGCGTCGTTCTCTTGGTGTTGATTTCGCCGTGTTTGTCCGACCTCTTTGATGGTCAGTGGGGACAAATTTTTTTCCAGGTCAGGCCCACTGAGCCATATGTAGCTCTTTTTCAGAAGCGACCTGGTCACAAATGATAGCTGAACGAAGTGGCTTATGACGTGGAAGTTTTATAGCCGCCAAATACTGTAAACGCGTGTTTCTAAATGTGGAGGGAAAAACCAGAGGACCCTGAGAAATTTTTACCCGACCATGGGGAGAACGTGCAAACTCCAAATATACAAGCATCAGGGTCAGGATCGAACCTACGACCTCCTGTACACCATTTGGCTTATCGCCACTGTGCCTTCCACGGTGGAGCCTGTGTAAGGCACGGGTGAAGCATCCTGTCGCCGGGATAACCCTGCACCTGCATATGTGGTTCAGTAAGGCGTAGGGATGATTAGAGTCTCATCTGTCCATCTCTCAAAGCAGTTGACGCATTCTGTTGCCATTTAATGGCAGCCGAAAGACACAGGCATTGCCCTTAATATCAAAACGATATATACGATAATATTAATTTACAGTCCTCGTGTAAATCTTCTGCTGGGTGAAGGCCGCTCCACTCCGTGTTGGTGGTGGGAGTTTCTGGGCCCTACTTGAACCACAGTGGTCGATCCGAGTGGGAGAAGGGGTGCTAGGACCCTTTTTTCTTTCGCACATCCCTCGCCCGGTGACGTCGGCCACGGCTGGGACTCAAACTCGGGTTGTGTCGGCTTCAGCTGAAGACCGAAGTTGATCCTACGACAGCGCCACCCTTCCACCACCTCTTGTTAAAATATTAATACAAGCGTAACGTCGACAAAACGTTGGCCCCTGCACCATTAATCCTCACCGACAATAATTTGACGTTCCCCTTCACTCTTCACCCACCGCACGCTTGTAGAAGATGAATCGTACGGGGTGCCCGGGCCTAGGAATTGGCAGAGGTGACTGAAACTCGAGACCGGGACACACGGGGTGGGGGGGGGGTTTGTTTCTCCGGTGGATGTTAATGGTGAGAAAGTTCAGTCCTCCTCGTAAAGAAAATCACTGTCCGTCGTCCGAGCTGTGGCTGGGACACGCGAACGCCAGAAAAGTGGTCTGGATGGTGTAAGAAGCGAGGTTTCTTTTTTAGGGCAGAAACCAAGCATGTGACGTGCATTAGCGTGGCTGGGGCCAGAGCTTTCGCAAACAAAGATCGCTCAGTGTGGTGTGTGGGGTGGTATGTGATAACAAGTGCTAAGAAGCACTGTTTGCATGCATTGGACCCCCCCCCCCCCCCGTTACAGCCTCCAGCTTGTGTACTTTGAATGTGGAAATGCAAATTGTTAGTGAACAAGCGCTGAGGCTATTCGCATTTGAAGTACCCATTGTTCGCACAGCAGTGTTGTTTACGAATTCCGGTGTGGTGCTTTTGAATACTAGGGATACGTGTGTATGTAAAGTTTGGCTTGCTGTAAACGTTATTTCACTACGCTGTACATAATCGTCATCATCAGCCATGATCAATCCACTGCTGGATGAAGGCCTCCCAAAGACGTAGCCTTTTCTCACGACCTAGGGATGTGATAATCCACATAGGAACTGATCCATCTCCTCAGTGGATTCCCTCTTGGGCATGTATCTATAATAATTAGTGTAATACGACTATACTCTGCGCGTGTAGAGTATATAAACAAGTGAACGGACGTTCAATTCAGCATTTATCCAATATTTGTGGTGGCCTCTCTGTTGGTTGCCACTCCACTCTCTAAGCCTCACTGTATCTATGTTGAACTTCTTCCGCGCGGTATGTATCCATTCATATTAATCGGAAGGAAGAACAAGACACTTAAACACAAAAAGCAGTTCTCAAGATGTGAGTTTTCAATCTAGATGATTTAAAAGTGCATAACTCCAGTGGCTTCCTAATATCGGAAGGAAGAGCGTTCCAGACGGCCGCAGAGGCGTGTCTGAAAGCGCACGATGCCGTAACCGTCTTATGTTCCGTGGCTCGCGAAAAGCCGCTGTGTCATCTCTTCTAGCGACACGTCCAGCACAGATCCCATTACTATGCTTAACGGTCACTTTTAAAATTAAAGCGTCATATATGAACAAACAATGAATAAATACATTTATGAAACCCTGGCGAGTGTTATTTGTGCCACGCGGCGTGTTTAACTTTGTCGTGGTGGTGTGTTACAGATCCTGATGTCCGGGCCCTCGCTAAAGAACGTCAGAAGAAGGATAACCACAACTTAAGTGAGTTTCATGGACAAACAAAAAAAAGCGGACAGAATTGCCCACGATGAAATCCCGTAATTCTCTAGATTACCAAACTTCAGTTCACCCATTTCAACTCATCCTCGTGAAAAAATGCATCGAGCGTATTTGGCTGCTATAAACGTCCAAATGATCAGCCACTTCTTTGAGCTATCACTTTTGGCCACGTCGCTTCTGAAAAAGAGCTATAGATCTAGTGGACCTTAGCTGGTCAAATAAAAGTTGTAAAACAAAAAGTGTAATTTATCAGACAAGGGGGTGGAGCAGTGGCGCAAGTTGTTAGTGCACTGTGCTGTAAACTCGGTGACTTGCGTTTGACTCCTATCCAGTGGTGAACGATATCTGAACCAGTCTTGGGCATGCTCTTTGCCAGCAAGCATTGACCAGTGGAGTGAAGATGATCAAACGACCCCAATGATCAACAATTAATACCACGGCAAGCGCCTTTGTGCTTACCGTGGTTATAATGTACTGTTATTTCCAAAGCTGACAAAGAAAATGTGAGAAAAGCTGAGAAGTGTGGAAAGAAGTTTGAGAGTTGCATGCTGGGAATGTTACTTCAGAGACAAAAAGAGGAACGGATTGACCAGGGAACAAAAGCTTCTGATTTGCTTTTGTTCCCAGCATAGGATGGTGGCTACCGCAAGGGATGATGGCCATTATAAGACACTGGGGGTCGTGGAGGCAAACGCCTGCAATCCATCACTTCGTTTGGCGAAAGTTGATGGTACACCGTCCAATTGTTGTGAAACTCCCTTCCCGTGGGGATCCAGTGGGTGTGATACGCTGGCTCGACAGGAGAAGGCAGAAGAGCAAAAATGTGGACTTCACCTATTCCGTCTTTGTGGAATAGAGTGTTGCCCCCTCACACGTGTGGGTTCTGTCTGGGTGCTCCAGTTTCCTCCCACATGTAAAACATTCATTAATTGTCCGAAAACACCTTAATACATAGAGGACCGCAGAGCTTGGGGGTAATTTGGCATCGGCTCACCACGTGGCTGCCTTTTCCGCTTTGTGGTTCTTCATGCCTCTGAGTTGTTTTCTCTTTTCAAAAGTCAGCAAATTCTACGTGGCGCATTAAATATTGAAATTATTATTATACACTAGTGAATTGATTATGACTGATAATTTTGTTATGATCATTATTATGGGCTTCTAAATAGTTTCTTGTCACAAGTTGTAAATGTGCAAATAGCGTGTTCCGTAACAGTGGCATAGCATGGTTGGCATCGGCTCTGGTGCAAGGAATTCAATTGGTGGGGGGGGGGGGGGGTGCGGTCTGTCCAATTTCCTCCCACGTCTCGATCCCGTGATGCCTGGGCCTCTCCAGCCCCTTGGGCCCTGGCGTTCTGTCGCACCGCCCTGCACTTTCGCTAGCTATGCCACTCCCGTAATGTAATTCCGTGCGCGTTTTACTTTTCGTAGTCACTCTCAACTTGGCGATGCTTCTCTTTCACGAACAGTTGAGCGCAGAAGACGGTTCAACATCAATGATCGCATTAAGGAGCTTGGAACGTTAATCCCCAAGTCCAGCGACCCGTAAGCATTTATTCTTGATTCTCTTTCCGCATAGCACTCGTTTTTTTTTTTCCCCACCACCGAGGTTGCGTTTCAGAATAAATAAGAATAATGAGAATAATAATGAAAATGTTTTATATGTCCGTATTGCAACACATTCATCTTTGAGGTGTGATTGTTTCAAAGTAGGCACATAAAGTAGGCACATATATAAAGGAGGCCATGAAAAGTTGGCACATATATAAAGAAGGCCATGAAAAGTTGGCACATAGAAGCCAGGCATGGTGGCTGGCGCACAAACCGTGAGTCCAACATTTTGGGGGCGGGAGTTTGTGGGTCCAAACAAATTTGTGGAACTTCAAAACCCCCTCCACCTGCTGCAAGGTGGCCCATGTTGGCAGTAGAGCAAGCGGATTGACGCCAATTGTGCGGAGTTATTTTTTTTATCGATATTCCCTCACGAGCGTGTGGTGGGTTTTCTCCAGCCACTGCTGTTTTGGATCCACGAGCCAAACACTCGACAGTCGCCGAGGGAAATCGGCCAAATGTTCAATTGTGAGGCCTCTCCGCAAAGGAAAACCTGTCTTAAGACTAGATGAGGCCTGCCCTGGTTAAACAGAGGCGAGTATTGTTATCGCTATCTTATAATCCGTAATTGCAACACTTGGAAAACCTGGGTTACCCTTGGAAAACAAGTGCCGAAACTCAGAATGACTTCACACTATATTTTCTTTCAAAGGCCTTTGTATGTTAAAGTAAAAGCAAGTCATTGTTGCCTGCATCATCATCACACAAACTCGATTGACCCGCGCGTTGGCTCTTAATGAAAACACCACAGTGGCGTTTTCTTTAAATGCACTTTCCGTGTACCTCAGTTTATTTGGTTGCGTGCAAATTAAAAATTGGAAAAAAAGTTATTACAGTGAGGGAAAAAAGTATTTGATCCCCTGCTGATTTTGTACGTTTGCCCACTGACAAAGAAATTATCAGTCTATAATTTTAATCGTAGGTTTATTTGAACAGTGAGAGACAGAATAACAACTAAAAAATCCAGAAAAACGCATGTCAAAAATTTTATAAATTGATTTGCATTTTTATGAGGGAAATAAGTATTTGACCCCTCTGCAAAACATGACTTAGTATTTGGTGGCAAAACCCTTGTTGGCAATCACAGAGGTCAGACGTTTCTTGTAGTTGGCCACCAGGTTTACACACATCTCAGGAGGGATTTTGTCCCACTCCTCTTTGCAGATCTTCTCCAAGTCATGAAGATTTCGAGGCTGACGTTTGGCAACTCGAACCTTCAGCTCCCTCCACAGATTTTCTATGGGATTAAGGTCTGGAGACTGGCTAGGCCACTCCAGGACCTTAATGTGCTTCTTCTTGAGCCACTCCTTTGTTGCCTTGGCCGTGTGTTTTGGGTCATTGTCATGCTGGAATACCCATCCACGACTAATTTTCAATGCCCTGGCTGAGGGAAGGAGGTTCTCACCCAAGATTTGACGGTACATGGCCCCGTCCATCGTCCCTTTGATGCGGTGAAGTTGTCCTGTCCACTTAGCAGAAAAACACCCCCAAAGCATAATGTTTCCACCTCCATGTTTGACGGTGGGGATGGTGTTCTTGGGGTCATAGGCAGCATTCCTCCTCCTCCAAACACGGCGAGTTGAGTTGATGCCAAAGAGCTCCATTTTGGTCTCATCTGACCACAACACTTTCACCCAGTTGTCCTCTGAATCATTCAGATGTTCATTGGCAAACTTCAGACGGGCATGTATATGTGCTTTCTTGAGCAGGGGGACCTTGCGGGCGCTGCAGGATTTCAGTCCTTCACGGCGTAGTGTGTTACCAATTGTTTTCTTGGTGACTATGGTCCCAGCTGCCTTGCGATCATTGACAAGATCCTCCCGTGTAGTTCTGGACTGATTCCTCACCGTTCGCATAATCATTGCAACTCCACGAGGTGAGATCTTGCATGGAGCCCCAGGCCGAGGGAGATTGACAGTTTCTTCCATTTGCGAATAATCGCACCAACTGTTGTCACCTTCTCACCAAGCTGCTTGGCAATGGTCTTGTAACCCATTCCAGCCTTGTGTAGGTCTACATTCCTGTCCCTGACATCCTTGGAGAGCTCTTTGGTCTTGGCCATGGTGGAGAGTTTGGAATCTGATTGATTGCTTCTGTGGACAGGTGCCTTTTATGCAGGTAACAAGCTGAGATTGGGAGCACTCCCTTTAAGAGTGTGCTCCTAATCTCAGCTCGTTACCTGTATAAAAGACACCTGGGAGCCAGAAATCTTTCTGATTGAGAGGGGGTCAAATACTTATTTCCCTCATTAAAATGCAAATCCATTTATAACATTTTTGACATGCGTTTTTCTGGATTTTGTTGTTGTTATTCTGTCTCTCACTGTTCAAATAAATCTACCATTAAAATTATAGACTGATCATTTCTTTGTCAGTGGACAAACGTACAAAATCAGCAGGGGATCAAATACTTTTTTTCCCTCACTGTATTATGCAAATCACTCCTCTACCTGCGCAGTGCCTCGATATGTGTTAATTTTTTAGTTGTATTGTACCAATCAAATTGCATTAGAGAATTGGACAGCGCTCTGCGAAGTATGCAATTCTGCACGTATTACTGGGGCTGTTGTTAGCTCACATAATTACTTTCTCATTCCATCCCCTTGTGGTATTAACTTGTATTAAATGTCTCATTAGCCTTCACGCACGCTCCCACACAAACAGCTCGCTCATGCTCATCAATGCACACAGTCGTTAAAGTGTAGTATTGTACAGAGGGAGCTGGCACCGCTGAGATCCTGGGTTTTAATATGGAAAGCCGCTCGCGATTAAACCAGATTCTTAAGTTTAACAAGCTGATGGTGTCAGCCCAGTTAATAATAACTGCACCAAAAAAAATTCCCATCACCAGAAATTGAATTCTGCACGTAACTTTGATAAGTTCCACTAGTGAGAGTTATAAAATTGTTGGTTTCGCTGACATCCGATGAACATATTTTTCTATCAGCGTGTGCGGGAAGCGCATTTGTTAGTGTGCACAGAAGAAAAGCTCTTTTTAAGGGATCTCAGTACGAGTTCTGTGATATCTCCTTCCACGGCCCATTCTCTAACACACGGGATGTTGCGTTACTCTGCGAGAGCTCCAAATGGATATAATCGTCCCATGACCATAATGCCAATAGCACAATCAGAATAAACATACAATTACAGAAGAACGTTCTCAAATGCATTTTCGGGTTGTCCCACGTTTTGTTTGGCATGATGTCCGACGTTTCGGTGCACGTACTGGGAGCTTCCTCGGGAACACGAAGACACATCAAAGTGCTATGCAGCGCAACGGTGACAACCTATGCACAGGAATTTGTTCCAGGCGGGTGTATCCGGGTCGGCAACCCCAACAAGACTCCAGACCCGGCACACCACATCCAATATCCCTTCGAGAAATCGCTGCAGCTACTCATCGCATCTCCGCTCCAGATGGCTGGCTCGCAACGTGGACACACATTCAGCGAGAAAAATTACAAAGGCCTGCCATACGCAGCGCAGAAAACAAACCTGTAAAAACAAAGCGAATAAAACAAGAGAAGTGACCTGTGCGAACGCAGGGACATGCGCTGGAACAAGGGAACCATCCTGAAGGCGTCGGTGGACTACATCCGGCGACTGCAGAAGGAGCAGCAGCGCTCGCGAGACATGGAGGCTCGCCAGCGCCGGCTCGAGCACGCCAACCGAAGCCTCGTCATGCGGGTCCAGGTGAGGCCGGCGGCCGGCGTGGCCCTCTGCGCGCGCTAGCCGTGCCGTACTTCTTACGCCGTTCGTCCGCGCTCTCCGCCTTCGCACCTCCGATTAGCACGGTCGGTCACGCGCGGTGCGGAAGAAGTTCAAACGTGTGTGTCACGTGGTTGGGGTGAAGCGGTCGCGCTGGTGGTGAGCCCTACGACCGGAGCTATCCGCCCCGCGAGATGAGCTTGGCTCGCTCCCGCGGCTGACGTTAGTGAGCGAGTGATACCTGAATCAGTCCCGTTACACGGTCCTGGGCCCTCCTCGCTTCAAGTATAGTCAAATGACCCTCACGACCCTCATGGCAATTGGGGGAGGCTCTCATTCAGTCGCGGATTGACAAAAGGGCTACTACATGCACACGTGTACAATTTCGATTTTTTTTCTCTCCCCAGTTACGTTTGTCATTACACTTATAATTTGAGACAACACAAGTATAGCACAAAGGTGTGTAAATGTGTCAACGATCTAAAAAAAAAACATCCCCTGTACGTAATGCGAGGTCGTTTCGACAAGAGCAGGGGGTCAGCAAACAAAATAACAAGAAGAGCCTTTTTTTTCCAATTCGGTAAAAAACTTAACACTCCAAGAGCCGCAGTTGCAAGTGGTGAATACGAGACGGTGGGTCGTGAATACGCAACGTCACAAAGCAGTCCTTAAAGAGCCCGCGTGCGGCTCTGCAGCCGCAGGTTGCTGACCCCTGGACAAGAGGGTGTGTGACCTCACCTGGGGAGCAGTGGCGGCCCGTGACATGTCCACTAGGTGGGACTGTTGTGAGTGACCTTTGGTGTTCTAATTAAGAAAAACCTCGTCACGCCATTGGCCTTCCCGTGAAAGTGATGCAACTGTCTTATCTAACAACGGCGAGGACTTTATAAACAATACGAAACAAAATAACAAAGCACTTTAATGCTGTTCCCATGATCCTCAAGTCCACACGACACAACCACTTTGACACTGCCAAAAGCCTAGAGAGTGTAGGCTGACCTTGCTACATTTGCACAGTGCAACCTCGCGTTGTGACATCGTCGTCATCACAGCCACGGGCGCCTTTCTCACCGCCCTGAATGGGTCTCAAACGACGTGGCTAAAATGCGAAGCTGCGAATCGCAACGAACGAAGGGAAATCTGTCACTCGGACGCCTTCGCAGCCGTCCCGAGACCTCCCCGAGGCACAAATCAGACTGTGGTGTTGCAGTGGTTTCTAAAATGAAAAACTTAAAATCTTCATAGGGAAATTCACGTTGAAAGAATCGTTACATTTGCTTTTTTTTACGCGACAAAAAGATTCTAAAGTACTTTTTTATTCGAAAAATAATTTCTCACCTCCAGCTGCTTGGTCGGGCGGCGCCCCAACGCCCCTAGTGGACGAACCGCGCCTGCTGGGGAACTTAGAGAAACATTTTCTGGCATCTGGCGTTGGGTAACGGGCAGTGCGTGAGATTCGCCACTTGTCACCACCAGGGGTCGCTAGGACCAATTGGTTAGACGTTAGGTAGGGGGTGAAGTCTAAAACGGTCGGCAGAAGGTGGCGGTGGAACGCCAGGGCCATGCAATTTCAACTTTCCTATCATGCCGCTGATGTTAGCCATGGCCAGCATTCGAACTGAGGTTACCAGGTTAATTGACCACTGACCACTCCACCCCCCATAAAAAAACACACACAATCCCCTGCGCCAATTCAGGTAAGCGTCGAATACCGGTTCGATTTAGCGTAGCATTAACTCTGCATTAGGGTTCAGGCCCGTGCCGTTCATATTATTACGGTACATCACTGAAATTTTGAAACGGCCCCATCGTGCCGAAAGTGAATGTGACAGTGAATGGCTTCACTGCCGCCCTCCTCCCCTCGTGGCTCTTCTCCCGACCAGGAGCTGGAGATGCAGGCGAGGGCGCACGGCCTGCCCACACCCTCGCAGGCCACCGTGGATCTCAGCAGCTCGTCCATTAAGCAGGAGCCGGGCATCCCATCCCACGGCCTCGAATACTCGCTGCTGCCCACCGCCCCCATCCCCGCCAACTCCAGCCACGTCACCATCCTCGACCTCAACGACGGCACCCTCGGCTACTCCAATCCCCTAGAACCGGATCACCAGGACGTGTTGGGTCACCACCACTCCGAGCACCTGTCCGGTCACGGGGACCCGGCAGCTAACTTTTTGGACTATGGCAGCGGCCCATTCGGCAACGGCTTGAGGCTGAGGGACTTTCTGCTGGACGACGGTATGTCTCCGATCGGCGAGTCGGACCCCCTACTGTCCTCCATCTCCCCATCCGCCTCCAAGTGCAGCAGCTTCAGTGACGATGACGACGACGACGGGGAGGAAATGTGATCCGTCGCCTCCGCGGGCAAAAATGTCCGAAGATTTGTATCTTTTTTTGGGAAGTTTTATACGGAATAAAAAAAAGCAAAGTAGCTCAAGTTATTCTTCAGTTTAAAGGTGCAATACGTGATGCTTAACCGTTTCCGCGATGCGCGGCACACTTATATCGGGTGCTCGGTGCAGTCCGGCGTGTGATTTTCCTTCCGCCGATCTACCAAGTTCTGCCAAACGAGAGGACCCATGTTTACAACGCTTGCATTTCAATTAAGGCGGAGTCGCTGGGAAAACCACGCGGCGGGCAGCACTGTGTGAGGCTTGCCAAACGAATGCCACTGCCGGCCCATACCCAATGTGTTGCAACAAAGACACGCACGCCAAACAGGAGATCAACACAATGCAAAGCTAGTCGCGTTGACGATGGTTAAACGGGTGCATTAAATCCTCTCTGGGCCAAAACCAAATTTTACCCGCTTTGATGAAACGGCTGAAACGCGTCGACTTGGCGGCTTGCCCCCTCCAACCCCCAGTTTTGTTTTAGCGGAGATATTCGCCTGCTTTCTCCCGCGAAAAAAAATAGGACGGAAAAGTGGCAACGTCCACGAACGGCACGTTACGTTCGCCCCCTCTGCAAATTTCCAATGCACGTGGCATCGCTGGAACCTTGGTCAGCCTCATCCGCACGTGCCAACGTGTTGTCTGTGAGTGGCGCATCGCAGACGTCTCTGCCCCCCGCCCCCGGGGGAGCGTTTTTTGACGGATCTGTGTGCAAGTGCATAAAGTCGTTTGCGCAAAATAATAGGGCCTTGACACCGACGCACAAAGCCCCGCTTCTATATCGAGCAAATTCCACGGAACCCGTCACAAACCACGTGAGCCCCAAATCTTGACGGGGGTCGGTTATGAGTGCATGGGTGTTCAGCGGCACACAATGTGCAGTGTTTAGCCTGCGTGACTTATTGCACCTTTAACACTAAATAAAAGGAATTTGTTTTATTAAACAGATATGTACATACAGTATATATATTTTTTAAGATTTAAAATGACTGCTTAGTCTTTTTTTATATACATATATACTTTTTCAATAACTTGTACATCTGAACATTTTTTTTTAAAGGTTTAATCTTGCGATTGATACTGTACATCCAAAGTTACAGGGCTGTCAAGTGAGGGTAAGACCATTTTTTGTAAATCTAACCTGTCAACCAGAAGTATCTCAAAGGATCTCAGAAGCACTTCTGTGATACCTGCTTCAGTGGGCCCTTCGTTCCCTTGCGAGAGACCCCCAATGGTCTTCTTCATCTCATAACGTGACACACGGAGCAGTCAGGATAAAATTGGGAAAAAAAAGAAGAAAAATCACACCCTATAAATGAGTGCAATGAGGGTTATATGATAATGATGATATTTATTTTGAGTTTTTGGTGAATTTGGCAAGTATGTGTGCGTTGTGTGTTTTAGGATGCAAAAGTTCTGGGGGAAGGGGTTTTGTGTTAGGCCCATCGAGACTTGACAGCCCTGCGAGCTAAAATGTAATTTCAACTTACATATTATGCAAACTATCATAGTCTTCGAATGGTTTTGTGAAACAAAACAAATGCAAAGGTTGTGAAAGTTAAGCTTGCGACTTGCTGCCATTTTATATTAAAATGAAGAATGTGCCATTATTGTAAGCACTGTGAAACACGAGTTCCCAAATCCTTAACGGCAATGCAAAGAGCAAATTCACTTTGGCATGAACCTCATTTTCCCAGTGTAATCTATAGGGGTAAATGTGCATTCATGAAAGACGGAGGCCTAGAAATTCCTTAATGTTTCAAGTTAGCCTACTAAGCTCTGGAATTAAGATAGCCCTTGTCAGTATTGAGCCCTCAGCCGTGCGTTGACACGGCCTACAATCGGTGTACAATATATTGTTGGTTGGTAGTAGTGCCAGGTACATAAACAGTCACTGGATGATCACTGGCTTTTTAGTGTCATCCCTCCCTCTCGTTGTGGATTTTCTTTGTGCACTTCGCTTTCCTGGCACGTGCAGAATAAAGATGATGTTGGGAAAAAAATATCACGGAATCTCTGTGGAATATAGAACCCAGGAGGGGTAGAATCCAATTAACCTAATTTTTACAGTAAAATGTATTATCAATAATACACACTAATCGAGCATTTAAATAATGTAACTGCCCATAATAGACTTTTTTGGGTTAGATCGGGCAAATATAAATGTGTCATTTAACCCGCCACCACCCGACACAGCCATTAAGTAAGGGTTGTCACGTAAACAAAGCATGCCAATTCGTTACTAGTTCAGCACACCGGTGTGCTGGAGAGTAAACCTCACTACAACATTTACAATTCGAGTACTGTGACATTTCTCCGGTAATTACAACCAGCCTCATTAGGCAACAGCCAGAATTGTGGAGGAATCCTTTTTATTATCCGTCTTCAATAACTTGACTGTCCTTTTGTCAAAACCCACCGCTGGATGAAGGCCTCCCTACGGCTTGTCGGCGGTTGTTCTATCAACTGTCGTTGCGGCAGTCAGCGCTGGTGGTTTAAGAGGGGTGCCAGGACCTTGTCAGATTTCACTCGCAAGTGATGTCAGCCTTTGACGGGAATTTAACTCGGGTTGCCAGGTTCATGGCACAGTGCGCTATCCGCTGCTCGACAGCACGATATTAACCCGTGTGTGCATTGGTAATGCAACGGCACTCCGTATTATGTAATAAATAACCTTGCTCAGTGGACACTGTAGCCGAGGGGTTGGGTAAAATAAAAATCCCGTGATCTGAAGCAGGAATACATACACGTATTATTTGCTTGTGGATCTCAGCCACCTCCTGTCCCTTTAGCGATAGATGATTTTGCTTTATTACGGCGTGACATTTGTGGTGTTGCATGTGCCTCAACCCGTCCCCACCTCATGTCCCCTTCCCTCCACAACTCCTTCCCACTTTTCTTTGTCGTGTTTAGTTTGTGCTTCGCCCCACACCTTCGATTAACACGGGTGGCTACGTACGGTGCAAAAGAAGTTTCAACATAGGTACATACTTAAGCCTCTTGCCTCTAAAATCGTCCTGTCGCCCGTGTACTTCTCTGTGTAAAAGCCAGACCCAGGGCCTCTTTTTACAATGATTTTTTTCGAGCCACTGCCTTTACCTGAGCGTGCGTTCTTAGTATCAAGCAGCACACGCCATAGAGATGCACTGACGAAGAGCATTTATTGTTTTCGATGGAAATCGAGTGGTTTATAAGAGCATAAAAGGGTTCGTTCTCGTATAATAGCCTTCGGCAATCGCATGTTGTAATAAATAGCATCGAGTGCCTTCAAAACTTTTCCTTCAAAGTGAATGTGTGCGTGTCTTAGTTGCAACGTGCAGCAAATATCTTACTCCTGTTGATTGTTACCTTTTTTTAATACAGCAACTGATTTTGTACTTTTTATTTGAATGCAGTGTAATGGTAGGCAAATCATAGAATTATATATTGATAATACTTAATATATACACAAACGTAATATTCGTAAATTAGCAATGTATGACGGTAATTGTTGGGAGTGTGTTTTAAAGAAAAGAAACCCTTTTTTAACGGCATTGTAATATTTCTTCACAACGTCTGACCCGGGAACTGTTTGTTACTGATGCCAGTTTTTTTTTTTAAAGCGTCCTTCAATGACACAGTTTTTTGACAATAAATACTTTTTTAACGAAAAGCACAACACCTCTGGACGCGCTTGTGCTCTCCTGGGGCCGCGTGCCTCCAGGCCAGGATTCAAGGATTTTGAGACCCTACGAGAGCCACGAGGCCTGAGGTCTCGGCTGGCAGCCGCAGGACCAAAGCTGACACCTAGGCCGGAAAGCCTTCTAGGTCAAAGGCCGCTGTTCGGGCCGGTCAAGGCGGGATCCTCTTGACCGAGGCAACTGTCAAGGCGGCTGCCTCGATGTAAAGTCCTCAGCCTGAGGTCACACGCCGCTAATGCCGAGATGATGGGCGCTGAGACACGATGTCCTCATGCTGGCCTCAGGGACCAGGACATGATTGCCGCCAATGCAAAATTGCAAAAGGGCTGATATACACTGGACTCCCACGGTAGTTTACCCATGCCAATTAAATGCTGGATGAAGGCCTCCCCACGCCGCTTATGGGGGTTGTTAGACCATACTTCAACATACATACAAACTCGATTGGAAACTCCTTCCTTTACAACTGCTGTTTGTGTTTAGTTTTTTGCCCATCGACGCACGTCCGATTGGCACGCTTGGTTACGTACGGCGCAAAAGAAGTTCAACATACATACTTCACGCTGATCAGCGTAGGTTGATAAAGAGCTTAAAAACGTTAAAATCATTACTACCACGATGCAGTTGTGAACATTATTTCTTTATCTTATGAGCAAAAACATCTTCAAATACGTAAAGTGTAAATGTATACTGCAAACCTAAACCACAATGTGAAAATCGACTTAGAAAATATAATATGTACATAAAATGGCTTAAACATTGTTCTTTGTATGGACAAGCTCGTATTATTTATGACTCACCTCTAGAATTGCATGTTGTAGACATAAATCAGCCTTGACATAACTTACTCATCATTGCACGCGTAATGTACGTAAAATAAATCTAAATTTGGCATTGTAGTGAGGTAAGCTATAACAATAATTTCAACTTGTAACACACATAGACAGAAAGACTCAAGAGGCGTGAATAACCACTTACAAGTGGGAAAGGCAGCAAAAATCTCCCCCAAGCTCTGCGGTCCTCTGCATATTAAAGTGTTATCAGTCAATTAATGAGTGTTCACGCATGTGAGAGGAAACCGGAGCACCCGGCAAAACAAAACAAAAAACCCCCACGTGTATGAGGGAGGCAACGTTCTATCACATATAGATGGAACAGATGGAGATTCGTCCCCTTGCTGTGCAGTATTCTCTAGGCAAGTCAGGGTATTGGCAACCTCGAATTCCACGGGATGGGAGTTTCACTACGTTCGTGTGATCCACCAACCCTGGCTACCGCAGTACTCTATGACAGCCGTGTGCCACCACCACCACTGAGCGGTTATCCAAGTCCATTAAATGCAGACAATAGATGCCGAAGATGGGTAACGCCATGGTTATGAGGATTGCTCGTGCAATAGCATCAACGTTTTGCAATAATGACAGCATTTCAGAAGCAGTTGAGATGCCAGGAACAAAGTATAGTTTTCCAAAGAGAACAAAATAAAATTCACACATCTAAGCACATTCGGATCAAGCTATCAAAAATGCTGTTACGTAAGATGTACATCTTTACCAAATTCAACTCCAAAGCATAGACAGTAAAACACCTCTCATTCACCACTCTTATCCACTCTTCCTACTGGATCTCATCCGCAGAGATTCGTATTATCCACAGCTCTAGTGTTTGTGTTATCGAGTATCCGCAGGTTAGAGGAGTTACCAGGAAGTGGATGTTCACAAAACGAGTCATGCAGTGGCAGCCATTCATGCGGGCACTAACCTCACCATATTTATGATAATGGATTGATGATGACAAAGTATGAATACGGTGTTAAAGATGATCATGATCCTTTGCCGCTACCACCATGATTAATTTCTGCATTTTCAGGAGCATTTACCTTCCTGGGTAGTTGAAGACGATTTAGACCTGTCGAAAGCATCCCCAAAACACATCACTGTCGAAAAAGAGTTCCACTGTGAAGTATATTAATACAGAAAATTGGAATCCGTTTGTTTCATGCAAGACGGGGGAAGCATCGACGGCTCCCACACTCCAATACCCCACCGGGGCCCTGTGGCCGCTCGCCGGCGCCTGCTCAGACGCTGCGCGGAATTCTGTTGCTCTTGCTGTGCACGCTGTCCTGGAGAGGCCGCCACTTGCCCACGTGGGTCTTGTGCTTCCCGTGGCCCCACCGCTGGCACCACAGCCTCTGGCAGAATTCCTCGGCCTGGCGCGACGGTCCACCGCGGCCAAACATGGCCTGCAGGTCGCCGTACCTGCAGGCGCGGGGATGACAGCACAGCGCAGAGGAGCGGTGAGGGGATGATCCGTGGCGAGGTATAGCGGTGGAACCGACTTCTTGACTTTTGATGTCCATTTCATTTCCCACCGTGTTGATTTTCACGAAAGGATGGCAATCATCTTTCTCCAGTCGACGTTCCTGGTGCGTTGAGAAATATACCTACGGTGCCGCTTACAGCAGTCCACACAGAAAAGGCAAGGGACGTTATTTATCGGACGAAAAATTATAAGATGATTCCTGCAGAGTCTTGTTTCATGTTTGTTGCCCGCCCGGCTGGGTGTGTCTCCTGTCAGTAAGGGCGTTCAGTACTGGGCAGTTGGAAGCAGTCGCCCTCTAATAATAGAGGGCGGAAGAGTGATGCTTAATAATTAGTGGACTGCCGGGCGGCTAAAATGCAGCAAACAGGCATACTGGGGGGTGCAGTTGGTGCATCTACTAGTCAGCTCAGTCAATGAACCCATGGCACTTGGGTCTGTCCCATGCCTTAGTGAAGAATGGCGGTTGTGGTTGATGTCTGTACTAGAAGTAATGAAGCCCCATAAATGAAAAAAACTAAAAGGTCAGAGTGGATTTCCACTTGAATGAGACTGGAGTGGTGCTCACCTCAGGTTTACAGCTATGAGCCAGTGGTCAAGATTCCACATTTCTATGATGAGGGAAAACCTATACAAAGAAAAACTACTAGTTCCACCAAAGTGGTATTGATATTATAAAGCCCTGATTGATGCGAACACACGGGATGAGAGGGGACGCAGATAAAACAGGGGGGATGCCCCATTTCATTCATCACACCAGGCCCCAAGCCGACAACGCTACGCGACTGGACACAGATGTAAATGGTAGACGTCTAGGCTTGCCATCTCGAGGTACAAAAAAGAACAACATATCCTGGAAAGAATATCTCACAATACCAGATTAAGGGAGAACTACATATACATGATGCATTGTCTAGGGGTGTCGCATTATTACGCAAGTGTAAAATACAAAGATATTTTTACGTCCCAGGAAGACTTGCAGAGCTCCCAGGTCAGCTACCCTGAACGCCCTCGGAAAACCGGGGAGAGGTGGCAACCCTATTGAGCCTGGAGAGAGCCCCGCCAATTGGCGAGTTTGACGCCACTGCACCGAACCGACGTCCCCGTCGGCGTACCAAAGCTTGGGCACGTCGCGGCCGCCCCCGGTGTCCATCTCGTCGCACGGCTCCCAGCGGCGCTGTCGGTCGTCGGTCGAGTCGTGACCTTCGCCAGTGGCGGCGCCCGCCCTGCCCGGGGAGCGCTCCTCGGCGGACCCGGCCGTCGCCGCGGCGGAGGGCCTGCCGCCGGCGAGGAGCGCTCGCCCCACCCGCTCGGCGGTGAGCACGCGAAGCTCCACGCGCAGCAGGGCCCTCTGGTAGCCGAGATCGTCCGTGCGGCAGGTGTACGAGCCGCTGTCCAGCGCGTGCAGCGTGCGGAACAGGAGGCCTTGCTCCAGCTTCAGGACCCGCTCGTCTGTCTTCACCTGTGTGGCCGGCGGTGGCGGTGGCGGAGCAGGAGGGTCATTATCTGCAACGCCTCTTTAAGTAAGGCCGAAAGCTTCTGTCCGGAGATGGATATAGAAACTTCTCAAGGGGTGAGGGAGAAGGGAGAAGTGGGGGAAGGACGGATGTCCCGGAATCTCAAGCGTTTTAACAAGGGCCCCACATTAATAAGAAAAAAAATCCATTAAATCTATTTTCTCCGAAAAGTAGAATAAAAATACCGATTTTTTTCTGTTTAGGTCTTAAGGGCACGGGGCGCAGGGAATGCCCCCATTGCCTCACACTGTTCCTTAGGTCCACCACTGGCTCTGAAACCGGGGGTGGAATTATAATGCTCACATATAATCCAATATGTATTTAGGTATGTTGAACTTCATTCGCACCGTACATATCAAACCGTGCTAATCGGAGGTGCAGGGAAAGGACAACAAACTAGACAAAAAAGCAGTTCTAAATAAATGAAATTACAATCTAGATGATTTAAAAGTGCACAGCTCCAGTGGCTTCCTTATATCGGAAGGAAGAACGTTCCAGACGGCCGCCGGAGCACATGCGGTGCCCGTCTTTGTTCGATCGCCAGCCAAACCCCCCGCTGCGAGGATGACCGGAGTTCACGTGATGATTATGAGCTGAAGGGCGTGTGGAGGAGGAGGGCGCAGTGGCAGGGAGGGCGGGTGGCCCGGGGTGGGGTAGTGGGGGGTGTGGAGGAGGGCACACGGGACGGAGGGCACGGGGTGGAGGTGGGGGGGTGTGGAGGAGGGCACACGGGATGGAGGGCACGGGGTGGTGGTGCGGGGTGTGGAGGAGGGCACGTGGGGCAGGGGGGCACAGGGTGGTGGTGGGGGGCGTATGGAAGAGTCCACGCGGGGCGGGGGGCACGGGTGTGGGGGGGTGACACGTGGGGCGCTGCGTGGGGTGGTGGTAGGGGGAGGTGTGAAGAAGGGCACGTGGGGCAGGAGGCAACGTGGGGCACCTGCTCGCGCTGCTCGCTGCCGGCGTGCTGCACCAGCCACGTGATGGAAGCCCGCAGGGACGGGGGGCGGCACTCGAGCAGCGAGGCGTTCCTCTCCACACCGTACACCACCTCCACGGCCTCGGACGGCTCCGCTGCACGCGCGCGAGGAGGTGCGGGGTGGCGGCAGGGGCCAGCAAAGGGGGTCATGACCCCTGCCTCGCCAGTTGCCCGCACGCGGCCGATCCATGCACCCTTCCGTGCCGTCGTAATGTAAAATGATAACTTTAACAAAAATATATACAATATAAGCTAATGGGAAATTTAAGTATTTTTATTTATTTAACTTGATGAAGGCGTTTTAAGTAGGTATGTTGACCACTGTGCCAGCACAGATCCCTGGTATAGCTGTTGGGCAAAGCTCCGTGAGCACCAACTAAGGCTGGCACAACAAATGAGCGTGCGGTTTGGCCATCAAGAGGTTGATGGTCACACACCTTGTCACGTTCCCATTTAAGGCTGAGTCGACCTAGGCTGGCCCAAGACCAGTTTCACTTTGCCAGGATACTGTAGTCAAGTCGCTTTGTTTTGGAACCCAGTGATTGATCTCCGCACCATAAATGCAACAAATTTGTGCACAAACACAATACGCACAAACATACACGTGACTTCCCCCGTGCTAAGGGGCCGTCCATAAATGACGTCACGCGATTTTGGCCGATTTTTGACCTCCCCCCCTCCTCGTCACACGGCGTCACAAAAAGTCAGACCCCCCTCAAATATGACGTCACAAAGCTCTGCCCCGTCCCCCAAAACCTTATTTACATTTTGAAAATAAAACATGCTTCAAATCGCTTTAAACTATTGTCATTGTAGTGCGTATTTAATGTGGCGCTGCACTCTGATGTTGTAGGAGAAAACACGTATTAAAAAGGAGGCGTTGGAAAGCTGAAATTTAGCATAAAATTTACTTTAAAATATTCAACGTCTAACTAAAACTGCAAATGTTCAGAATATTATATTGAAATTCTCGTATAATTACAAAATATTAAAAGTAAATACAACTATGACAAATACTTGAAACTTTGTAGTAGAACGAAGCAAAATGGAGAGTACAATTACAACACATTCATTCCACAGAATGAAAAGCCCTGGTAGAATCATTAAAATCAAAATGTTTAATAACAATCGTTCAAAGAATTTACAAAATTTATGCTTCTCCATTCTCCCATGGAGAAGCAAAATGCTCCTTCATGGAATAAATAAAAGGTGAGCTTAGTAAATTTAAATTATCAAATAGTTAATAATGAAAATGTATCAAAAGTAGTGTTGTTATAACAATTCTATTTCATGAAGTAGAACGTGTTGCTTATATTTATTAAAAGTTGCGCATTTTGATGTGACGTCACATTTCTCAAACTCCCCCCTCCCCCACTCGTCACACCTCGTCACAAATGTCTGACCCCTCCCCGCCCCCGCCTTGGTGCGTGACGTCATTTACGGACGGCCCCTAAGACGGCAGCGGTGTGTTGATGCATCGCACCTCGAGATTGCTGATCCCAGCACTGATGGGTAGCGTCTCCTTTCCTGATATCCTGCCGCCTCATCCTCCTGGTGACCCTGAAGGCAACACGACCGAGTCCATAGGGGCACAGTGCACACCTGGGCGCCACGTCACGCGCAATGGTCCCACAGCGCCATCCGTTTCTCACAATCAGGCTCTATCCCAAATTGGCGTCCGCCTCTCTCGATCACCACACGGACAAACACTCCAAAGCCGAACGCAATCGAAACGCAACGGCGCGGTTCACCGCGCAATTGTTACCCAACCATCTCCCTGCGTCGATATTTGAATCATTTGGCGGGACCCCGGGGTCCCGCAAAAATCCGGTCAATAATAATTATTATTGTTTTTCTTCAGTCCGCCCCACTACGTGATCCCGACAGCAACGCGCCACCCGCCCAGACTCGCCGCGCCAACAAGCGCCAGCAGCAGCAGCAGGCGGCGATCAACACGATGGGGGCCACCCCACCGACCAAACGCGAGCCCCGGGGGGCGTCCGCCGCGGTCGCGTGCGGCGACGACGCCCCCCGGTCAGCCGTCGATCCTCGGCTTCTTTGCCAAGGCAAGCCTGCCCCCCCCCCCCCCCGGCAGTGAATTTAACGTGTTTATGTAATTTTCAACTTTTTACGAAACTTAGTGCCCCGAGTAGCTCTCGACGAGGCCAATCGATTGACACTAGTTTTGTTGTCGTCGGTAAGGCGACAAGACTCGTGTAGCCACGCGGTTTTCCCCACCCCGGGGCAGTGATGGGACCCCGGGGTCCCGCCAATTGCTTCATTTATCGATTGCGATTCTGCTAGTGACCCCTAGTGGTGTGAGCGTGTAACATGCCATGCATTTCTGTTCCCAAAACTAGGACCCCGGTGCACGTGAACTTAGTGAATGCATGCTCCCAATCAGTGCCGCATTAAGCTAGTGAGGGGCCTGTAGCATATGTTATAAAGTGACCTTAAATATAAAAAAACACGTCAATATTAAAACACATACATTTTTACTTGCATAGTAAAGTTATTGTACTTTTTTTCATTTGCTATACAGCCAGATAATACGACAAATCACTAACCTTAAACACTCAGTCGTTCATAAAAGTTGAAGGCAGTATAGTACTATAAGTGCAGAATCACTTAACTGGAATTGATAGCTTGAAAACATTTAGCGCGGGGCCCTTGAAAGTGCGGGGCCCGTAGCACGTGTAGCTACTACACGTGTAGCTACTGCACGTGTAGCTACTGCACGTGTAGCTACTGCACGTGTAGCTACTGCACGTGTAGCTACTGCACGTGTAGCTACTGCACGTGTAGCTACTTTTGCTACTAGGATAATCCGGCACTGCTCCCAATGCACTGGGTTCTGTTTATCTCTCTCTCTCTCTCTCATTGTCATTAACAAAGATGTGGAAAGATGGTTGTGATTGTGGGTTTTAATAGGGTCAACAATATTGTCGACTTTCGGGGCAAGTTCTGATTGCGAGCAGCGCCTACGAAGGCTGGCACGTCACACGAAGGAGTTGGGTGGACAACACCACGCCCGGCCGCCTTTGTCTCCCTAGTGGCGATGCAGGTTATACGGGGAGATGTTTGCCTTTGATCATGCTTTAGTACTTTGTTTCTACAAACCACATCTCTATTTTCAACAGAGAAAATTTAGGGTCGAATGTGTGTATGACTACGTGCGTACTAGGGATGGCATAATACGTTGATTCGTCGATTAACATAGATTCTAAAGCTCGGGATACATGCTTTAAATCGTGTGTGAGAGAATACTTTAAATGCTTATTTTATTTGCACTTGGAGTAACTAAATGGTCTGCGTGTCACCTTGCAGCCACCACAGGCGCTACCACTCACCACAATAAGAACAACGAATTAGCATCCAGAATCACGGCAATTCATTGAATCACCAGTGAGGGGCGGATCATTCGACACGGACACACCAAATGTGTGCGTGATAAAAGGTATGGCTGGGCTACGGATCATTATGTACATCGGTCCACCAAGCAACAGCGGCGGTGACGATGATGACCTCGGCGGTTGTGGGGATTTCAAGGTTGTGTTAGGCAAGTACCTGGACTCTGGGTAGTTCTGTCCTGCCGTAGGAACGCCCCTCGATTTCCGGCCTGGCTGCACCCAATTGTCGACGCTCCTACACAACGCAGGTTTCAGAGCATAGTGACACACAGAGAGCCCCTTCATTTATAAGCAAGCGAGAGCCAACTGACCAAATTACACCGAATGCAACCGATCTCATGAGATTTCGGAAGCTAAGCAGCATTGAGCCTGGTCAGCGCATGGGTGGATGACTGCTATGCTCAGCATGCTGTTATACGTGGAGGGGCAATGTGATGGGCAGCAGAGGCCAGCGCAACCCAAATTTTTCCGGAGCCTTCACCTACCCGCAACTGGCCAGCATGGTGAGGCACGGTCGTAGAGCTCCCGCAACCCGCACGGCATGGCGAGGCCCTCGTTGAGTAATGGATTGTGACAAAGAGGCCGTAGGTCTGCACGCGCGACACATGAACCCCCGGCTAATTACGAACCTACCTATCGCTCGCTGTAAGCTACCATAACTCCACAAACCTGGCCGTCGCCTGATGAAGCTAGTTGTAATTACTGGCGAAACGTCGTACTCGAATTGTAAATGTTGTGGCTTGGCTCTCCAACACACCGGTGCGCTGTACTAGTGACGAATTGGCCACGTTCTGTTTACTAGTTGGCTGTGTCGGGTGGTGACAGGTTTAACGACATATTTATATATTTACGCGATCTAACCCTAAAAACCTGTATGATGCATTCTAACTCCATCACGTATTTAAAAACATATTTTAAATGTGTTATTTGACAAGAGCCTGGTAAAAGGCACGAATCGTAATAAAGGAAGAGGGTGGGGGGGGATACAGAAATTCTGCGGACCAAAGTGCAAACTCAGTGCTCCGGGGGTTCTGGGTAGGGGAGAAGATTGGGCTCACTGCTTCCTCCCCTATCTCTTGACAAACATCCATCGCTATCTCTATGGGACCCTTTTCCCCAGGATAAAACATTTTTTTTTAATGAAAAATGAGAATAGGTTTTACCTTTTAACTGCTCGGCCCGAGCTATAAGTGTTCTGATGCTTGCATTGTCTTTGTACTGTTCGACTTTTGGCGCTGTTCTCTGCTCTGACACTGGTGGTGAGACTAGGTCATGAAGAAGGCTGTCTCTGGTGTAGGCCAATCAGTTTCAAAGACAATGCCATATATTGTCAGAGCATTCTTGTTTGCATGCTCACCACAAGTACGTGTGGTTAATGCAGACTTGATGCCTTGCAAGAGGTACCCATTTGCTAGTCGAACATCTTAATACCTCCATCTTTATCGTCGGCGGCTCTGTGAGAATGAGGGCGGCGATTAACCCCGCGGACCCGCAGAGCGGACCCCGTGAGTGGAGCCCCGGGCTTACCGTTTGCCCGGGTGCCGGTACTTGGTGCAGGAATGTCCATCCCACGCGCAGTAGGGGTCTCGTGCCAGGCAGCACTCGGCGCACGTAGCGCCGTACAGCTCGCACTGCTGCAGGGACACCTGCGCCGCGGCCTCCCGCGTGCCCACGTACAGCTTGCCCTGAAATCCGACAGCAACCAAATTTGACATGGTTACGTATGTGCGCGCGTGTTGAAACTCTTTCACGCCTCTACGTAAAAAAAAAACGTGTTAATTGGAGGTGCGGGGGAAGGACAGCAAACTAAACTGAAAAGCTGTTCTAAAGAAATTAGTTTTTCAATCTAGATTACAAGTGCATAGCTCAGTAGCTTCCTAATATCAGAAGGGAGAGCGTTCCAGACGGCTGCATCTGAAAGCGCGCGACGCGGTCACCATCTTTGTCCGATGGCTTGCCAAATTATTGCTGATTATTACAATCGTAATTTTTTTTCCGAATTTTGAATTTGTAACGTGCGCAGTTCTCGTTTCACTCTCAGACAGAGAGAGAGAGGATGACCCGGATGCGTGGGATACCACAGACAAGTGAGAAGGCAGACCGAAGCGGCGCTCGCAATTGCCAATGCTCTATGGCCCTATATTGTGACATTGAGTGTTTATACACGTGCGAGGAAACGTGGAGTGCCCGGACAAAACCCACGTGTGTGAGAGGGGCGTAGCATTCAATGCTTGTTAAGGTGGATTTTCATCCACTAGCCGTACTGCCATACACTTTTAAAATCAGTTTTACAAACTTCCAATCCACGCCTCCAAAGTGCTGTATTACAGGCGTGCATAGCTACCAGCGCCCGGCTTGGGGAAGGAGGATTTGAAATCCATAATAGCAGGGAGTCGAGCAGTGGCATAGTGGTTAGCGCAATGCACTCTAAAACCAAGATTCCCGAGTTTGATTCCTGACCACAGCTGCCGTCTGTGGTTAAGATATTTGAAGATTTATTAACTGATCTTGCCACGCTCTCACCAACCCCTCCCTCCAAAACCTCCACTCAAAAACACCCTTGACCGACACTGCATAGAGAAGTCTCCATCTAGCAGCTGATGTTGGTCACGAAAGCCGACTTGTTAAACCATAAACGAACTGCTGTAAAAGGCTTTCCAGTGCATTCATTCGTCGTCATTCTAGCCATGGTCCATCCACTGTGGATGGAGGCCTTCCGGTCTCGCGATGCAACAGTCCATCAAAGAAACGTGGATAAAAGCAAGCTTGGAATCACACGCAGAGCCAGAAAGAGGAATGCGTGGATCAATCAGATATATCGTAATGACCGTTGACAAAAAGCTACCATGTGCTTGGGCAAGGCACATTGCCATGACGAAATGTTGCCTGCTGAGCAGGACAGGTGGCAGAGAGGCAGCTAAAGGCAAGAACGTTCCTAAGAGTCACGACCACAGTGCAGATGGACCAATGAAATCACGTGCAGGAGCCAGATGGGTTGTGGCGTGGCATCACAGGACTGTGAAGGATGACGACGATGCGGGGAAGCATTCATCCAACAGTCGATAGACAATGGCTGTTGCTGCTGCTGAGCATTGTGATGATAGCGTGATATGATTTATTATGTTTTTCAGTTTCATTTATTAGGTATAACCCTGTGAGCCATGCGGCTCTTGACTCGGGTGCAACCACAACAAACAAAAACATGAACAAGAAAAATCTTAAAGTGACTACACGCAACAGAAAAATCCAAGAAAAAACAGCAAAGTGTTCCAGAAAACAGCAAAGTCTTCCATGTTTATGCCACTATACATTGTTGCCCCAAGCAGTGACTGTTCATTGAATCACGGAAGGCATTATATTTGCACTTGGGCACAACTATTTTACGCCAAGGAGTTCCAAGAACAATATTTTTTATTGCCTAAAGTTTGAGCTCCATACCTACAGAGCGTAGAAGAAACGCAAGCTCTGCATGTTCTGGTACATTTAGATTTAAGTGGGTTAAAGCACAGCTGCAGTGAGTTTGTCTCTGTATTCGGTCTTGCCACAAAAATACCGAAAGCTCAAAGAGCCAATGTGAAGTCCTCCTGGGCTTACCCTTTTAACAGAGAGGTCCATGGTAAGAATTGGCGAAGGTTTCTGTGAAAACAAAACAATACATCAATGTTGCTTTAGAACAAATCTAATGATCATAAATGTTCAGAGTCCTCTTTACATACCATGCACATGACTGCATGCCACGGAGTACATAGATCAGTGATTACTACCATTACTCTTTACCTCAAATACTTGAATTTCCTCCAAAATGATTTCTTCCGGTGGAAAATCCTGGCTTGTGGATATCGATATGACTTTAAGCACTTGCCCTGTGTCTGCAGGAAACATTAAAAACGAGGGCACTTTTTCAGGCTGGAAGGTTAAGTTTTCAGGGTATTGCCCATGTCAGGGCATTGAGCCAGCTTCTTTGAGCTGGCTGCTATCCTAGTGCAGCGAGTAAAAAAAAGTATTGCTTGTGAAATTTGTAAGGGCATTCGACAACTAAAGGTGAGTGGCTAACTAAGAGAGAACAGAATCTACCTCTGTAGGTTACAAGTGAATGTAATTTGCGTTGGAGCAAAGCAAAGAGGCAGTTGCACCCCCTTTGGACAAGGGAAGAAGGCCACGATGAACAAGGCCCACCGGGCTTTGAGACGCGGTTGAGTTGAACGCATAACCAAGGCAAATCAAAGTTATGACTGTAACAATTTGTGCTATGCCGACAACGTTCATGGGCCACCTTTGCTGGAATTTGGCCCAATGTCGCCATTGGTAAACTTGGCTGAGACCATCAATTCAATACACTGGAGAACCCAGGATTTTGTCACAGGCGGCTTGGCTGTATTCGAACGTAGGATCTCAGCGCTTCTGGCTCAGCGCTCTGACCTCCCATGTGTTGACTTTAAATAAAGTTTATTGACCACAAAACTTCTCACGATATTATAAACAGTTTATAAACAACAACAACAACAACGGTTAACACAGCCGTGCGTGGCCGCAGCATAGGCAAAGAGAAAGATCCCCCGTATAGCCTTTAACAGACTGTTGGGGAAAGTGGCGATGTTTACACACCGTACCAGGTATTTATTTGAGGCTGAGTCGACCTAGAGGAGGCACAGGACTAGCACAGATAAACGTCCCCGGTGGTGGCCGTGAACGGGAATCGAAGCGCAGCGCAGCGCCAACCGCTCCCCACAACCACCACCAGCGTGGGTGACCCCAGCCACGCCCCCCGGCGGGGTCACCTGTGCCGAGGAAGATGGCGTCGTAGGCGGCGTCCTGCGCCTGGACGCGGTCGACGGCGATGCGGGTGAGCCGGCGCCCGGGCTGCGTGCTCACGAACACGGGGCGGCCGTGGCGGGGCCGCGCGGGCTGGTCCATGAGGGGGTGGGACCGCGCGAAGTGCAGGACCTCGTCGGGCAGGCCACGCGTGCTGTGGTATGTCGAGCCCGGCGGGGCCGTCAGGTCGCTGAGGCACTGCGCACCGCGCGGAGGGGGGGGGAAGGAGAACGGCAAAAAAGGTCCCTTAGGGTGGCCAGACGTCCCGTGGAACGGGCGTGGAGATTACCGGTGGTGGCCTTGAACGGGAATCGAACTCGGGTCACCGGGTTCGAAGCGCAGCGCAGCACCAACCGCTCCCCACAACCACCACCATCTCCAAGGCAGAGGTTCTTTGCAAGCCATCTGGCTACCATGAGAGATTCGTTCATGAGGCTATCCACATATACAAACACAGAGACAATTTCAACCGAGAAGATGGATTCTGGCTTAGCAATCATTGGAAGGATTTGATAAACCATTTCGGGTCTTAATTGATTGATCACGCTTAAGGTGGCTTTCAGACCACATCCATGATTTTCCCTCTCCCCCCTCCTCTTTTCCGAACATAGATGGACTCGTCCATCTGAATAACTGCCAAATCTCTCTCCGTGGTGCTAACGTTAAAAATAACCGCCACTTTTTTCAAAATTTCTTGTTGTGCTTTTCACACCTGATAATTGCTTGTGTTGCAGTCGAAACGTCGTGATAATTGTATTGTTTTATATTTTTATTATTTTATTGTTTCCCTTCTACGTGACTTTACCAAAAGAACCAAGAATATAAGGTGGAGATTACTGTCACACGTATCAGGATTGAGTGGAGGAAGACGACCGTGAAGAGAGATCCCCGCAAAACGCGAGTGGGAGGAATGCCAGAAAAAATAGGTTTAGCACTTTCATCCATCTGTTCGGTCCAATTTTTAACCAAAACCTAACCCATTGGCCAGTACCGTACACGTATACTTTACGTTAAAAAAGGGATACATAACCAACATGTAGTGGTGTCACTAGGGTTGGTGTCACCCAGTGCGGTAACTCATGGTGTCACCCCTCATGGACCGCTACACATACCAGACCATACAGAATCCTTAGTAATGTTTTTTGTACTGTTACTCGTAAATCGTAAATCCCGTATGTCACTGAATGTAATGGAAATTGTAGTGACATAAACAACTAGCAAAATTTAAATTACACCTTTAAATTACAATATTTCCTTTTATTACTACTTCATTCTCAACAAAGTTATTCATATAGGTTCGCAGATACAAATAACCACAATATTGTAGCTAAAACACCAGAAAATTTGACAAAATCAGCGACTACAGAAACACGAGCAGCGACGAAAACAACAGCGCGTGCTCGCAGCGCGTGCAGACGAAACCACGTGACTCGAAGCGTCACTGCAGTTGGGTAACAGTGACAGCTCTGACCGGAGCGCATTAGAAGGTTCAAAAAGTAAATTAACACAGAGTTTTAGCCTTGTAGGTATATTGACACAGTACATGTAAGCTGGGCTTAGTTATAACAACAAAAAACACATTTCGTCGTTATAACTAACTACAGGGATATTTTTTTTAATAAAAAAAGATAATACATTTATGCTGAAACACTGCACAAAAATTGTATAGACAGTCATTTTGGTGTCACTCCCTCTGATGGTGTCACCCGGTGCGGTCCGCACCCCCCCGCACCTCCCTAGTGACGCCACTGCCAACATACACGTGCAGGTAGCAAAAACATTCACCAGTGGGAATGAACATTTGCTCCCGCGGAGTTATATATGTATTTCTATTCTGGGGAAGCAATGTTCATTTAACCCTTACCCATTCTGAGACGTCTGCAAGTTGAATCTCTGAACGTGCAAGCAGTCAGCGTTAATTTTATTTAGAGAGGCGTTAGAGGCATTATGTTTTAAGACATTGCACTCACAGCAGAGAACTGTAGCAACACGACCGCACTCTATGATAGCTAGCGCCAAACTGCCACTCGCCCTCCCGCATAGCCTTTTACTTCCAATGACACGTACGTCATCAGAACAGGGACAGTGTCAAATGGGTTAAATGGCAGAGCACAAGCAAGTTTGGCAGCCTGCTAGATGTACATGTACCTGTTGCCGCGACGCGAACGACTCACCGTGCCAGGCCGCGGGTAAGGCACCCTGCCCTGAAACGTTGCCCAGTGGTGCCTGGGTCCCTCTCGGTGAGCAAAGGCCCCCTTGAAGACGTCTCGGATCGCGGCCATGGAGTATGCGCACACAGCGAAGCCCTTGAAGATGTCACTGTGCGCGTGCGTGTGGACGACAGGGGGCACAAAGGAGGCCGTAGAAGAGATTTATAAAATTGACAAGTATTCTGACAAGTTATTCAAATATTGTAATGTGTGAACATTTCATTAAAAAAAATGTCAAAAAACAGATTTGTTTTAAGATATACATGACAATGGAACGAATTCTACATCGGAAGATTGGGAAGTGAGGATATATTATTATTGCGTGAAAACAAAAAAATCACGGCTCGTATTATAATCGAATGTGTCATTTAAAACAAACGTCACGAGCATGCAAAGTGTACGAAGCACAGTACCTGACCGTGCTAAAAATGGCATAAACTTCGGGATTTTTTTCATCACTGGTTTGAAGTAAGAATACATCCTCTGGAAAATAAACAAATCAAACACAGACTATGAGGTTACACGTAAGGATGACACACCTGCCTTCTGAAAACATTTCTCTCAGGGCCCCCCCCCCCCACTGTGTAAACTGTGACCTCCAACGATGAGTCAGTCCAAACTTTTGCCCCCTTCTCTCTCTCTCTCCTCTCTTACCCCGTTGCTCTAGAGAAGCACTGCAAATGGTCATAATGGAGTGTTTTTGGATTAGACCGCGTAAATATTTAATGTGTCGTTCAACCTACCACCAGCCGACACAGCCACTTAGTGAGGTTTGTCACAAAAACTAAACATGCCAATTCGTCATGAGTACAGCACACTGGTGTGTTGGGAGAGTAAATCCACAACATTTGCAATTTGAGTACGACTTTTCGCGAGTAATTATAACCGGCATCATCAGGTGACAGCCAGAGTTGTGGAGAACTCCTCCCGTTTCGGAAACGGTCAGCCTGATATAGTTTGATCCGTGAAAGGGCAGTGTTAATGTAGGTACAGTGCGGTACAGAACGGTACGTCAAACTTCTTTCGCTGCCGTACGTAGCCGAGCGCGTGAATCGCCGGCAATGTCGAACGTGGAGGTGACTGTTTTTTTTTTTTAAATCTGTGATTGTATTTGGAGAGAGACTTGCCCAGCTGATCGAAGTGCGTGTCGATGCCGTCAGAGCCTGGGATGGAGCACAGGAGCCTGGCCTTCGTGAAAGTGCTCCACTTGTTGACCAACACTCTCTGCCCACCCTCATCGTTCTGCACAAACAGAACGGCAAAAAAAATTAAACACCGACTTTGAGGTTAATGAACACTAACCGTGAAGCCCACATCAAGGAAAACAATCGTGAAGTCCAGATCCAGGACGTTTTGCAGGAGAGTCCTGCATTGGGATGTTTGTCAAAATAACCTTTTAAAGTGTCTTCATGCGTGTGGAATGAAAGTGGATTACCTGGAGAAATCTCACACGTATGAGGGGATCACACTTAAAACGCGCGTGTAATGATAAATGAGTTAATTAATATCGACTAGGATTACAATATATACGTTGAATTATGTGTAAGGATCAATGCTTTTCATTTGTAATTCATTCACATAAGCCCTTTCAGCAATCAGAAGCCGCTACATAATAACCACGATGTAAAAACATGCAATCGAATAATTACCCTGAATTTCGAACATTTGTTCAATTGAATAGCTACACCCCCCTTATCAGGCAAAGCCGATTCAGTTTAACAACAAGGTGAGAGTCAGGCCAGCCTCCCAGCTCCTCTCGGATGGGGCACCGTAACAGTGAAATAACGCCAGTAGGGTGGAGAGAACTGGCGTGGGCCAAGAGACATTTGCCCTCCCCCCCCCCACCACCCCACCCAGTACGAGAGTGAATCGGGACATGTGATCTGGCTCGGAGGAGCATTGCGGGTGCGATCGGTACCGCGCAAACGCGGCCCACGCGCGAAAACCTCGCCCGGCTCCTGCCATCGGCCTCGGTGGCCCGCTCCGAGAAGAAGAAGTAGACCTTGTTGTCGAGCGGGTCGTCCGTGTCTGGGATCAGGTGCGCTGCCACAAACCGAGGCTCTGGCAAACCAAAAATACAAATCACGCGTAATGTTTTTGTTTTTGCTGCTTAACGAATGACGCCGCTCGAGAAACCAATGGCTTTCATCTTCTCGTTAAAGACGTGGGCAAATATGCGGCTGCCTGGCACCAGTTTGAAGGTTCCTTAATGAGAACAGCGGCTTTGAAAGCACGGTTGTCACGTACGGTTACGTGGAAAGCTGGTGGGGGGGGGGGGGGGGGCAATGGCAAGGTTGGTGGAAATGTGAAACATGAGAGGTTGGAGTTCCAGTGTGGGTGTCCCAAGTCAAAGGTCAAAAAAACAGGAGCACGGGTATGTTTAGTTAAACCTACGTGGCGCATGCGAAGTTATTTGGGCCGGCGAAAAGGTGAAAAAAAACACTGTTTTCGGCAATGGAGGAAAATACGTGATGTCCTTGTCTTTCTTAAGATTTGTTTTAGCACTGTCTGCAGTTGAAGGTGGCAGCTCCTGCTTTTAAGATGCCAATAGCAACCATCTGAAAGGGGGACAAAATGTACCAAACCGACGAGCGATAAACGCAGATTGGTGTGGTTGTTTGCCAGAACGTGGAAAAATACAGCTATGTAAAAATGTATGGGTTAGGTGCCCCATAATGGCAAGAGTGACTGGTGTATTAATATATATATGGGAATAAGATGATACTGATATCACTCGTGTTATATGGGAAAATATATTAATATATTACTCAAGTATGTTTTTTTCCTTATTAATGCGTTAACAAAGACTCAAACACATGCCAGACAGATCACAACACACAGCTTATGTAGGCATCTGCAATGGAATAGTTATTTGTACTTTTATTTGGGTCTCACTTTCATTACAAATATAAAGTGACCACCAAAACCCTTTCTCTACCCACTGGTACAGGAACTGGGGAAGACTGCCCTGTGATTAAAATTTTATTTCGGGATTTCAAGTCAAGTTAAATGTTCTTTCTTCTGAAAATGAGAAACGATGCGATCTCCGTTATCGGTTCTCAGATTCAGAACACATACATCACATTGCATGTCCGAGAATATATTTTGCAATTTGCACATATTTTACGGAATGGGTTGACGTGACCCCCTGTAGTCACTAGTGGCTGATGAATGCACCATTGTTATAAATGCACCATTGTGTTAATTTATAAAATAACAACTTGTTGTTAAGTCAAATCAATGGCTCCTATATTCACCACAACTTAAAAATGTATACATATTCATAAATCAAACCATGACCCTGAATTGCCACAATCAACTTGTTGCAATCAATCATCAAACTGCAAGAAGGAGGATTGTGGGAGGGGGGGGGGGGGACCGAAGGCCCAAGTCTACGAATCCACACGGCTTGTGAAGCCCTGGGACAAGAAATAATCCATGTTGAACTTCTTTCGCACCGTACATAGCCAACCGTGCTAATCGTAGGTGCCCGGGTTAAGGGAATCAGAGGTGCGGGGTAATTCCATGAGTGTCCCGGCATGGTTTGGGTCCGGTTTATAATCGTCAGAGGAGCTCCCATGCCCACCGCTGTGCCCCCTTGCGTCATGCATCACCATTGAGAACTTGCGGGTTGGAGTGCTCCGTCCTGATCGCTCGATGCTGAGGGGTGCCCGTGCGAAAGATCGCGGCGTCTTCCTCAAAGAAGTCGGCCAGTAATCCCGTGTACAGCTGTCCGTCTGGCCATTGATTGGTTCATAACACAGGGAGGACAAAGGGTCAGTACACAACCACGATGATGGCAAAAGCGCCAGGTTACATTTCGGAATTCGAATGTGGCTATGCTTGGGTCGTTTCGGTTATGTGTGCCACTCCACGCAGCGGGATTGTCGAATTATTTAAAGAGTAGGGTGCAATTCAATTGTTGTTCTCCCAGTATTGTGTGTGTGGGCATAATTTCAAGCAAAAGTCGTCAAACAATAATTGCTTTAAGGTACAGGTATTTCAGAACTATAAATAATTTCAAACGAATTGCTGATGATTAATGGTCAGCTCAGTGCAAATGTTTGAAAAGCCTTCTACGAAGCATACATGATTAAGGACTATATATTGGTTGCAGCGACAAAAGTATATATATATTTAAATCAAATCCTTGAGTTGAAGGTCACTTCTTCTCCCTGCTGCCGACGCTGTCAGGAACTCCTTCCCACCAATCATCTGTGCCACTGATTGTCTGCCCCCCATTTAAGCCCAGGCTCAAGGCCTCCGCCTGCTACTCTCCCTTTGGCTGTCTGTTCTCTCTAAGAATAAGTGTACATTATTTCGTACAAAAGAGTAGGCCAATTACCATCTAGAGGTGCTCTCTAGAGCCCCATTTATTTGGAAGCCCTTCAGCCATTAGTGGAGTGAGCAGGGCTGCACCTGTAACTTCCACCTCATATATATGCCTCCTTGTTGCCTGTGATAAATGTCCCACTGTTTTGTACAGCATCTTGGCATGCAGTTGTATTTAGTCATCATATAATTATACACTATAAATGGTAATTGTAAGGGTACATAAAAAGTGACCAAACAATCATAACAATGGACTAAACATAACAATGATTTTTTCCCTTGCTATTCCCAATGGATGTAATCAGTCCAGTTTCCATGCTGCAGCTTGGCAGTCTCAAATTAATGTGTGTATTTAACTCTTTACTGGTTATGGGCTGGTTTGCAACTCAATATCAGCTCATGAAAACAGTTCGTTCACATTTTGAAAGTGCCATACCGTAAAGTATGAATTCCAAATCTGTCAGCCTAGTCTCTTTGCCCTCTCTCTATGCAAAAAATGGGCCATTGCCAAAAACATAGCCTCCATTTTTCGGTTATAATGAATCGCTAACAAATGAATGTGGTGAGTTTTAGTTTTTTTTATTGCCAAATCTCTGAGCGTACTGCAGGACAGCGACTGCACCAATTCACACATTTCCTCTTGTCCAATTCACATTCGGAAACCCCGCTGGCCCAGTGGTGCAGAGCGTGGCCGGCTGGGGGCCCACGGTACAGCGAATTAAACGGAGCCCCCCGGTCCAATTCTCCTCCCTCTTTACAGCCCGACGCCCGCTGGCCCCGCAGACTCATGGGCCCCGGTGCAGTTGCACCGCCTGCGCGCTCGATATCTGCGCCACCCCTTGCCGATGTTTAACAGCGCACGCTAACACCGCGATGATGTATTCTCGCTCAGGCCCGAAGCCAAACACCTTTCCCTTCTACGGTATTTTTTGGCGACGATGTTCACAGCCGCATTTCATCCAGTGACTCGCGTGCCCGATTCGACGAACGGCGGCACAGAGCAAATTTGTGCGGCGGACGGAGGGAAGGAGCGCTGATATATTCATGACCCGGGGGGGTGGTGGGGGGAGGGTTCTGAGCTGAATTGGGGAAACGGGGCTGCTAAAATTCACGTCAGGGCACACGTGAAAAAAGATTATGACAAATGCGGCTTCAAATGTGGACAGCTCTTTCATGGAAGCCGTTGTTTGTGAAGGGAAATGGCTTCTGAAGGGGAATGTGCGCGGCCCCGGGGCGAATTCCCCGTTATTTGTGTTTCAACCTTAATTTAAATTCCACAAACACAGAGATAATTGCGACTGGTGCATAACACGACGAGACAATTACACGGCGACGCGCACGCTCGCTCGAGACACACATGGCCATCACTTTCTTGGACAATTGTTGTTTGCATGGCAGGCATTGCGATTGTACACATATGTCATGTAAATATATATTTTACATGTACCTAGAGACGACATTTCCACGTAGTTCTGTACATACATATAGAACTATTAGTAGCCGGTCGCAGGTTTAGCCTGCTTTCTTTTAAGTCACGTAGGTGACTTTACCGAATAGAACCAAAGAGTATGGATCCTTGCAGTCACGAAAGCTTCAAATCTAGAATTGCTTTCTTTTAACTTTGGTATCACACTCCATGGGAGTCAAATTACTTGGTTAACGGTCGATGGTTCACTAATTAATTTAGAATTAAATATGTTTAACCATTTAGCATGAAACAAAGTAATTTGGAACTCAGGCTGAGCCTCCCCCATGAGTGAAGCAATCAACATCTGGGCTACAATTTCTTGGGACACCAAATTCTGAACAATGTCATGACTTTGGTTGCTGTTGTTATAAGCAGCATTGACTAGACTGCAATTGTTCTACACTTCCGTTGTGTAGTCCCTTACTGAACCCTATTAGAATTCACATCCGTTAGCCGCGGCCAGGGATCAAACTCAGGTCAACGGGTTCACAGCATGGTGCACCAACCGGTGCTACAGTTCCCCCCTACATGGCTATTTACGGCGCGAAAGAACTTCAACGCGCATACATAATTAAATGAGACATTGTTTAAATGCATGCCCATACAGGACACCATACTTCAATAGGGATTACCGTTGGTACGGCTATTTTAGTACACGCAATTGACAGGAAGGACAAGATCAATGGGCTCGCATAATGCGCATGCTTAATGTACGTCGACTCATTAATCCCCACCCCCCCCCTCACTTTGTGCAAGAAAAGCACAGGAGTGTGGCCACCACATCTACGCCTCTATATAAAGAACGAAACAGGTGGACTTCTCCACAAATTGGCTGTCGCCTGATGAAGCTAGCTGTAATTACTGGCGAAACGTCGTACTCGGTTTGTAAATGTTGTGGCTTGGCTCTCCAACACACCGGTGTGCTGTACTAGTAACAAATTGGCACGTTCTGTTTACGTGACAAACCTTACTAGTTGGCTGTGTCGGGTGGTGGCGGGTTTAACAAAACATGTATATATTTAAGCGATCTCATTAAAAAAAAAACCTCTATTATGGTACATACATTACAGTATATGTAAATAATGCTCAAAAGGGGTGATATTACACTGGTTGTCTGGCCTATTAACTAAGCAATGTTGTTGTTGTTGCAACAACTTGCAAAGGGAACCAACGGGCAGATTCCACAGCAGATCGCGTGATCTGTAAACGCGCTGCCGGAATTCACTTTACCGACTACTGTGGACGCAAATGGCTCCTTGGGGCCAAAGGGGCACCTTCCTTGTCCATTCTCAATGCTCTGTGGCTCCAGCTTGAATGTGTGGTCCTAAAGGTGGGAGACATAACAAGCGCACGACTGCATTCATTCACCGCGAGTGTTTGCGTTTGACTTTCCACTGCGTTGGCGCCTTGCAGACTCATGTCAATATGCGCTGAGCTACTGTGACAGCTCTGAAAAGAAAACGTTCGTCGCCGCGTCGGTAATTTCTAGAAGCGTTAGGCGCTGGAACATTTTTTTTATACGTTTACGATATTTTTTTTCTCGGAACCACAACCGTAAAGAGCACCACGACACGAGCGTGCGTTTTGCCTGCCGTCTGAGTCATCACACATTTTTAACTTGGCTTTCACATTCCAGTCCAACATGTTAAATAAAGAAAAAAGAGAGAAAACGTTATTCATTTAGGCACAGAGACTTTCAGGCAAACGTGATGATAGAGCACCCCATGTAGGGAAAGCACACCACCCAGTGCCCACCCACCAGTACAGAGACGGTTAGATATATTGTAGGAGGTACTCATTTTAGGTTGAGTTGACCGAGGTGGAGGCCAAGGTCAGACCCACGTACCCATTGCAATCACAACCAGCAAAATATCCCTAGGGTAGCAATACCCCAACACATAATAAAGCGCTGTTAGCGAACACCTATGAAGGCTGGCACAGTGCACGGAATAGGGTGGGTGGCCAGCACCACGCCAGTCCGCCTTTGTCTCCCTATTGACGAAGTTTACTCTAGGTAATCATTTTGAGACTGAGTCGACCTAGGGGAGGCCCAGGATCGGTTCAGATAATTGTCACTGGGTGTTGGTCGTGAGTGGAAATCAAACTCGGGTGACCGGGTTCGTAGCGCAGCATGATAACCGCTCCACACGACACACACTTGCACGTGTGTGTCATTAATTTCAGAAAGGATTGTGCCTTTCTGAAAATAATTAAATGGGTGATATGGAATATAACAGTGCAACGAGTATTATCACCATATCATGGCAAAATACAGCAGTTTTACGATCTTATCTAATATATATACCTAGCCAGTTATGTGTGAGTGAGTGACTGATATTAAAAAAAATATGTTTCAGAAGGGCTGGAATTTGGCACAAATATATGCTCATAAGTACAGTAGATATGTGTTGTAAACCTAGTTTTATAAGATTTTGTATTTTGAGATTCATGTCAATTACGACATAAGCTTTTTTAAAGAAATAATATATAAAGATTTTTCTGCACACCAAATATAGTGGGTAAAAGTTATAACGTGTTTGTTTTTTTTAGCTTAAACTGGTTAAAGTTTGTATTTAGGACTGTGTAACACTGGCAAAACACGATAGTACGTCAAAATGACGTCAAAATTAGAATTTAAAATTATAAAATCTTAATTTTCGATTTTTAGACCCAGAAAAATTGGGGGCCTGAACAATAACTTTACATTTTTGTACACTGGGCCTATAAAAACTTGTGTATGTATGTCAAACTTATCTCGCACCATACGCAGCCAACTGTGCTAATCGGGGGTGCGGGGGAAGGACAACATAAAAAAAATATATCTGAATCGGTCCTGGATGTTGAAAACGATGCTAAACCCAAATTACACTTTTTTAAAAGCTACATTCTGCGAATACTTTTTTTGGAAGTGTGACACCCAAAGCCAAAGCAAAGCGGGTGACGCTGACTACCAAGTAACTCATCGTGTGCACTGTCCTGCAGCAGCGGAAGCTGCCTGCTCATGTTTATTCTTACACGGTATTTATTTATAGCCTGAACAGACTGTTGGGGCAAGTGCTGTTAGTGATCACCTATGAAGGCCAGCACGACACACGAGGGGATGGGTGGCCAGCGCCACACCCGGCCGCCTTTGTCTCCCTAGTGGCGATGTTTACTAACCCCACCAGGTACTCATTTGAGTATGAGTCAACCTTGAGGGAGGCCCAGGACCGACTCAGACAATCGTCACCGGCGTTGTGCATTGAGCAGGAATCGAACTCAGCTCCCCGGCTTCGTAGGTTAGCGCGCCGACCGCGACTACACGACCGCTCCCCGCACACACTCACATCCACACCTCCATGCGTACATACAAAATGACCCCTCGCTGTCAGTTCTGTGGCATCGTGGTTGCCGGCCAATGGCCCACGTCACAACGTCCGAACAACCAGGTAGGCACAGAGAGCCGCTCGACGCAGCGGCCGCGGGGCTGACGGCGTTGGCGGCAGCCAGACTGCCGCTCTTTGATTTTATCTGTCGATCGCAGGCGTTGCATTCGACCCCAAACGACCGGGGGACCCCCAATCTCTCCCGCCCACCCTGGGGTTCGCCAGGCCTCCCACGGGGTCAACGCGCTCTGACCCCACGCAATTAAAACAAACCGATAAGCGGGACCCGCTACCGCCTTTGTTTTTCCGCGCTGACCCACGCCGACTCGTCGACCGGGGAGTCCTGCCCGTGCGGGCTCCGTACGTGTAGCGGAGGTTGGGAACGACCCTCACGCGATTTAAAATCCGTTCGATGATGCCGCAAAGCACGGGGAGATGTTCTGAGGAAGGTGAGGATCGATAATTATGAAGACTTTAAATTTGAAGAATCGTGGGTTTCTCCCCCCCCCCCCCTCCACCGCTCTTTGGCAGCCTTTAGTCACGCTCACCACAGCACCGATGACGAGCAATTGATTCGACGTCACTTATTGCGTGTGAGGTGATATTGGGACATTATTGACGAGTCCTATCAATCCATAAGGTTTACTGCTCTCATAATTGATAATAATGGGAGGATTCTGCCACTACTTCTGAGTTACTCCTCTCGCCTGGGGATGAGTGCAGTTATAAGGTCACACTCTTGACGTGCATCGAAGGAAGATTCTCAGATTGATTCGGGGCCGTCCGTGAGAGGAGGAGCGAATGATAGGGTGGATAACATGACCCTCACTTATCGTATTTTGCTTCATGTTGGCAATGTTGACTATTTTTGTGTCCAAACATCTGGCAGGTGTGGAAATTGCAGCGCAATTTAAGCAACGTGCTGCACATGAATTGCTATGCATGAGGTTAATCTAGAGTGTTAATCTATTGGACAGTAGCTGTCGATTTATTTCCAAACTGTATTTTTTTTATTTGTGATGTCATATACGGATTTTCAGGAACAGCAAAATATTTCAGGAGCATTTAATGAGCTAACGATAATCAAGATATGACAATATTTTCCCGCACCTCCGATTAGCACGGTTGGCTACGTACAATGCGAAAGAAGTCCAACATACCTACGTGCGTACATGTTGCCAAGCGGACAATGCAATTACAATGGATCTTATCATCATCGTCATCCGTAGGTGTCCACTGCACATTTCGTCACTTGTTTCCACCTTGGTTCTTTTGGTAAAGTCACGTGGGTAGAAAAAATAATAGATGACGACGTTTCGATCGCCACACAAGCAATTGTCACCTGAAGACGATTTGCTTGAGTGGCGATCGAAACATCGTGATCTATTATTCTTGGATTTTTCGGTAAAGTCACGTAGAAAGGAAACAATAAAATTATAAAAATATAAAACATTAAAATTCTCACGACGTTTCGACTGCAACACAAGCAATCATCATCAGGTGTGAAAACCACAGCAATAAAAAGTTGAAAGAACCAAGAATATGAATCCCTGCAGTCACGAAAGCTTTAAAGCAAAATCGTGATCTATTATTATTTTTTCTACCTACGGGACTTTACCGAAAGAACCAAAGAGTAGGGATTCCTGCAGTCACGAAAGCTTCAAATCAAGATTGTAGTTGTTGCTCTGCATCTACAGCAACCATACGATATAAGAAGAATACAAAGGCAAGAGTGGGTTTCATCATTGGAAAGTCTCCATAACATATTTAATGGTCCATCCATATCAGCATACGAACCTTTTGGACCAATGTAATGTTTAAAAAAAATCTGTGTACACATTGAGGCGTTTAGATAACATGTATACTTGAATCTTTAAAAATACAGTACTGTATTTTACACGATGGTGAACAGTCCATATTTCCTATAATACTTTGCCCTGACCCGCTTAATAATATATCCCCAAACCCATTTGGTCACCGGATGTGTTTGTATTATTCCGTGAGCAGTATTCCACTTCTCTCTGCCTCGTGCGACATATTTCTGGCACCGATCTCTTTACGTCATCGCCGAGCCATTCTCCGTGAGGTCTTCCTCCCTCTCTGCTCAGCTGCTGCTGACGGATCTCGTATCGTACGACGACCACGACATCGAAGCGTTGGACCTTATCGTAGTAGCACAAGTAGCTACGCATGCTACGGGCCCCGCACTTTCAAGGGCCCCGCGCTAAACGCTTTCAAGCTATCAATTCCGGTTCAGTGATTCTGCACTTGCGCTATTACTATAGTACTATACCGCCTTCGACTTTCATGAACGACTGGGGTGTTTAAGGTTAGAGATGTTGCCGTATTATCCGGCTGTATAGCAAATGAAAAAAATACAATTACTTTACTACGCATTTTAAAAACTTTTAATATTTACGTGTTTTTATTTTATTTTAATTTAGGGCCCCTCTATAACATATGCTGCAGGCCCCGCACGAGCTTCATCCGGCACCGGAGGGGAGGGAGGGGAGGGAGGGGGCACTTGCCTCGGCCTTGCGACCTACGTTGACGAGGGCGCACGACGGGTGGAAGGCCCCCGTGCCGCAAGCCAGCAGGTGCGTCTGGTTGAAGGGCTGCAGAACTCGCACAAAGTTGGAGCACTCCTCCTGAAAGAGACAAAAAGTGGGGGGGGGGGGTCACCGCACGACCCGCCCCGCCACCCCCCCTCCCCCCCCTCCGTGCAGCCGTAAATACCGACGGTGCTAGCAAGTCCTGACGGCGTAGCACCTATATTCTTGGTTCTTTCGGTAAAGTCACGTACAGTAGATGGGAAACAATACAATAATAAAAATAAAAAACAATACAATTCTCACGACGTTTCGGCTGCAACACAAGCAGCAATCATCATCAGATGTGAAGACCACAGCAAGAAAATTTGAAAAAAGTGGCGGTTATTTTTAACGTCAGCACCACGGAGAGCGATTTGACAGTTTGTTCAGATGGACGAGTCCATCTGTGTTCGGAAAAGAGGAGGGGCGAGACGAAAAAGCCAGCTTAAGCGTGAACAATCAATTAAGACCCGAAATGGTTTATTAAATCCTTCCAATGATTACTAAGTCAGAATCCATCTTCTCGGTTGAAATTGTCTCTGTGTTTGTATATGTGGATAGCACCTATTTGAGGCACCCGCACAAAAAAGACACGCACGCTGTGCCGGATGAAGCGAGTGCGGGGCCTGTAGCATGATGTTATTGATGGGTCCTAAATAATAAAAACACGTAAATATTAAAACACACAATTTTTTACTTGCATAGTAAAGTAATTGTATTTTTTCATTTGCTACACAGCCAGATAATACGACAAATCGCTAACCTGAAACACCCAGTCGTTCATAAAAGTTGAAGGCGGTATAGTACTATAGTAATAGAGCAAGTGCAGAATCACTGAACCGGAATTGATAGCTCGAAAGCATTTTACAAGGGGCCCTTGAAAGTGCGGGGCCCATAGCATATGTCGCTACTTTTGCTACTAGGATAATCCGGCACTGCACGCACGTAAATCCATATCGAAGCATTGTAGGCCGTAAGGGTAAGTGCTCTTTGCGAGCACAAATTAATAATGTGAGCACGGACGTACACGTGCATAGACACAACACAGACAAAGCACCCCGTATAGTCTGCAAAGGATTTTGGGCGCGAGTGTTATAAGCGAGCACTTATGAAGGGCAGCACGGCACACGAGGGAGTGGCATGGCCAGCCTTTGTCTCCCCAGTTTTGATGCTTATATACTGCACCGAGTACTCGTTTAAGGCTGAGTTGACCTAGGGGAGGACCAAAACCAATTCAGAAAATCACTAATATTAGCCATGGCCAGGAATCGAACATGAGAAACTGGACTTGCAATGAAGTGTGCTTATCACGACACGATCACCCCCAGATGCATATAGAGTACTGTATGTATATATACATATATGTATATCAAGAGTACTTACTACTTTACTTAAGGGAGCTGGAGAGTTTACACCAATAAATATTTATACATTTTAAAAATGTGATAATCCAGAAGAAACCAAACCATCAGCCTTTATATTTTACATTAAGTAAATAGAAGAGTTCGTCAAATAGGAAAATGGGGGAAGAAAATGTTTTCCAGAATAAAAGTCAGCCAGTGAAAACAATCTAACTTCTTCCATCTCTGTGACTCAATGTAAATTTGTCAAGAAAATGTATTTGTATTTTTACTTAATCAAACTGCTGAGCCAGAATCAAAGTTGACTTCATATGGTCTGAATATGACTAATCAGAGCCATTCCCCTACTCTGCTTTAGGAAACATTTGAACACAGAAGACAAAATCATTCTGGGACAAATCTTTGCAGGTGGCCATCGGCAAAGATGCGTGGATCTTATGAAGACCGTCATGGGGCCCTTTACAGCTGTGATTGGACAGCTGCATTAACATCCTTTGCAGGGACGGCACGCTTAAACGCAGCATATTATGAGTAGCCTCATGAGGGCCTGAACTGTAGAACTTCGGTCTCGGAGAAAAGCGATTCCCCAACTAAACCTGCAAGCTGTAACCAAGCGTTCAGTGAGATTTTTTTTTAAAATCCAGTTCTGGTAATGTATCATCAGGGGGGCTTGGATTTTTGGGGCTTCAACTTGTTAAACTCGGGTTTTGAGGCAAATTACACGAGGCCTTTAGACCACCCAGTCTGTCCAATATGAACTTTCGGTATGTATCTTCTCTCAAAAGCCAAAGAAAACACGCTCAAAGATAGACTTTGGGAAAAGGAGCACCCCCTTCTCGCGGTGCGGTGTGCTTGGCGTACGCAAACCCCACTCGCGCGTGCAGGTTGCGCGAAATGGTTGATATTTTTTTCCCAAATACGAGAGGCAGAAATGTAAACCAGCCCGTGCGATTATACGCAGAAGAAGAAGAAGAAAAAACACCGTGGCACACGCATCCGCCGTTTGATATGGCGGGACGCTCACGGACTTAGCAGACTTAGCAAAGGTCTTCAAACACACATTCTCGACAACTTAAGTCGTACACCGCTAAGGGGGAGGGGGGGGGGGGGGACTACGACGACACGAAGCCAACCTCTGCATAAACATAAGCCCCCTTCTGTTGATAGCGCATTTGCCAGGAATTCCCCCCCTACGGTGTTTAGAGTTGCCGCTTCACTTTGATGTTTTCTACATCCACGTTTTACTGCGACAGAGCGTCGATGACTGTGGCTGCGGCTGCTGCTGCTGCTTGCGGGAGTGAAGGTGACCTTGACGAATACGTCTTTGGGAACGTTAAAGATCCCTCGTAAGTTATTCAACAATGGTCGTCTCACGTGCGTGCAACAAATATATTTTCCCCACACACCAAGGGAAGGTGTTTTCCTCCTAACGGGCAGTACGAAGTGTAAAATGCGGCATTTACAGTTTGAAATCAATAAATAACGAAATAACTTCCAAATTAAACTCAGCACCATTCACAATTTGTTTGCATTTGGGCTGTATTATGTCCACTGGTGTGCCTCTGCACTGGCAAGGCACTGAAGAGTAACAGTTTTGAATTCCACAGAGTTTCTGCGCACACATTTCAACTGGAACGGATGGTTTCCAACGTTGCAGGCCGCGCCGATTCCTGGACTCTTTTTGAGGCCCAGAAGAGCCATTTGCAAATGCCCAAAGCACCCGAGCCAGGCTTTAAAGCCAGGTAATGAATGGTCATCTCTGTAGGGCCCAAATTCACAGTGACCCCAAGAGACAACACCTGAAGCTGGCTATTTTATGAGCACATAGCAGGTCATTATAAACCACAAAACACGTGTGTGTGTGTGGCCCTATTGTGTGCAAGAGCTAATGAGCGTTAGGTAATCAAATCACTACCGGTGGAATGGTTCACCCTCTACCCCTTGGTGATTTAATGAATGATTGTGACCAGGGTCATGATCCGATGTATATATCAATAAAAAAACTACATTAACGTGAAAGAGAGAATCCTTAGTGGCTGCATGGGTTATGTTAACCAATTACATCAAGCGTATCAATGGGAAAACATAAATTCTTACGCACGAAATTCCCTGCACATATCACTGCACAGCGTGAGTGTCCACATCGAAAATCAATGGCTCATTCCATGAACTGCCACTATAAACATCTTGTTACTTTCCCCTTATTGGCAAGTTCACAACATATAACGATAACACTATTACTATGTATAAATTTTGATATTATTTTCAGCCCTTTGTTACTCCACGGATGGATGAATGCCTCCCCATTCCATGTTAGTCATGGATTTGTTTGATCGTAGGTCACTGTGCTGGTCAGTGTGGGTTCGTTAAGCTCGGTGGATGTGCGCGACCATGTCAGATTTGACTTACAACTGATCTTGGCTATGGTAGGGAGCCCAGCCGATCTTGGCGGGTTCGTAGTCTTATAACCACTGAGCCACCCCATATCTAAATGCCATCAAAATTATTATTGTACAGCACTCTGAATTAGCATATCGATGTCCACTAGAACAACGGGCAGCCACTATCACTTTAACCTACACACAAATTGCTACACTTACCGTGAACATGTGTTACCCCATACGGAGTAATTGGAGGAAGCTATGTTTCTCTTGTTTTCCTGCCCAATTCACCCTCTGCCCCCTTTAATAACAACCAGCTACTGGCAATGCCGACCGTGCGTGTGCGAGTTGCCTTTCCCGGCCACTCACGTGCACGTCTTTCCCCTTCAGCTCGCAGTCTTCTCTCTGTTCGCCAGTGCAGGGCCATGAAATCTGTAACAGTTTTACGAGCGCCGACACAAGAAGACTCGGTCTCAAACAAAATATTTATTGTACTTTCCAAGAACGTCAACTTAAACACAAACGAGGAGTTGAAGATTGTTTTTGCAATAAAGCTGCATTGCATTATGCGGCTCTCAACAGATGTTTTAACGAGCTATCAGTGGCTATATTTAAAAGTTATACGTGGCACACATTAATGTTTGCTTTAACTTATTTTGTTAGCGCATGTGTCCCAAATGTGCCATATGCATCTCGGCATATAAAGGCATTGAATATTTTTTCCCCCTTTGAAAATGTATTTGGAAATTCAGTTAACCATTTCAAAAACGTACATGCATTCAATCTGTGACTGTTAGTGGTAAAATGTAACGAAACTAATGTGCACCGCAACAGAATTATACAATTAGCAAATAATAACAATACTTCATCTTCTTTGGTTCTTTCGTGACTTTACCGAAAGAACCAAAGAAGATGAATCCTTGCAGTCACGAAAGCTTTAAATCGAAAAATAACAATGCTCTTCTGTAATTCTGGTCAACTTTGTTACAACGATGCATTCTTTCAGGAGTTTTTTTTTCTATCATCATAAGCCATGGTTAATCAATCCCCCGGCTGGAAGAACAACTCCCCAGTCCGCCACCATTTCTCATGATCCTGCAATGTTAATAATGAATCTATCAAGCACCTACACACGAGCTAATTGCATTGCTACATCGACTCAGAACGTACCCTCGGACGCATTACACATTTTGGCTGCCACTCCGTTAATGTTATTGTTATTCGTGTATTTTCTTCTGTTATACAAAAAAAAATGAAACAATGGCAAATGTTGTGATGGTAAACTTGCAATGTGGCCTCTTCCCACAGTCATAGGAACAATAGCGAAGTCAAACAGGAAGTGTCCAGAACGGGACACCTTCGGGTGGCCAGGAACAGACCAACAGGACCACAGCTGCCCTCATGCGGGAAACGGGTCACACGCCTAAATATACTGCTCAGAAATAAACTGTTTGGGGGTATTTATAACGCACGTCCAAGGCTGCCAAATCTTCTGGCTTTTTTGTTAACATTCAGAATGATTTAGAATTGCACTGATGTTTATACGCATCTAACACAACGCAAACACCATTTCCATCCACGTGTTCATTCAATGTGCAGTGCCAAACAATAATATTTGTGCGTTGCTTTTTGCAAATCGTTGTATAAAAGATAACAAAATAAAAGTAATGTATGATCCTTTGACACCCCCACCGCTGGATCAAATGAGGCTTTCCTGCACTCTGTCAGTAAGGGGGGGGGGGGGTCATTTTCCCATTCTCGTAAAGCGGAGGCCTGGACTGGTCAAGATATTCACTTGCCAATGAAGTTTGCTGTGGCTGGGAATTGAACTCAGGTTGCCAAATTCATAGCAAAGTACACTCAACCACTGCACCACCGCTTCCCAATAATAATAATTTGTGAATCATGAAAAGCTTTAAATCAGTCCCAAATCTTTTGAAAAAAGGTTTTTACTTTGGGAAGTTTAGCCAGTTTTAGGTTATTGCCCAGGCAGGTGGGTGTCTCTCAAGTGAGGCCTTAATCTCTGCTTGATCCACTAATCCCACCTCACCATCGCTGGCTTACAGTCTTGCGTCATTGTAACCAAACCTGCCAATCACTGGGTTCCAATTATATTTTTTTGCTTTTTACAAGTATGGTTTATTTGAGTAAAAATTGTCCCATAAAATCAATTACATGCCTGTAAGAAAAGCATACACCTTGAAAACTTCAAACAATGATAATTATTTACACCATTAAAATTGTTTTTGTTTGTTTTCCAAATTGCATTAATGATGCATTTAAAACAACATAAAGAGAAGTGCATGTTATTTGTGTTCTTGGAAAGAAATATTTCAAACTACCGGTAAACCCAGCGATTGTCTTTGTAGATTGGGAGTCAGGGCGCAATCTGTTTCTGAAATGAAATCCTTACATGTGCATTCCTAAAGTTGTAGCTCCAGCAGTGGTGATTGTAATAGCAGTCACCCCTACCTGCCCCCACCACTTTCAGAGGCAGATTTTCTGAGTGGCTTTGGAAGCACTCAAATTCTGGTAATTATAATGTGATTTATGTACTCAGGAAAACCTGGATATTTAGCACACGTCATTTGCCCTTGATGCTGCCACACCTCGCAATCACTTCCTTCCTCCTGCCGGATCCCACAGGAGTTGCACAGTCAACACTTGGCCTCCAAGGTCGCTTTGCTTCCCATTTGTTGAGGTGCGTGAGTGAAAAGACGTGGTCCTGCCATATGAACGTGGTCTTTCCACCATTTTATCAGGGTTGTAGGCACTAGATGAGTTCCACGCCCTCACGCGTTTAAACTGGAAGCCACCTTGACTTTTGGGTTTTCACTTTCTCTGGGCTACTGTGGCCTCTAAGCCTTTGGCAATGTCCTGTTGCCCCTATCTTAATACTCGTAATTTATTTTTGACAGAGCGCCTATTATTCCAGAGTGCCGTAGAGTGCTATACACGCGACTCACATCACATTATCATTGCAAACATTTCAAAGGGCACCCCCCCCAGTGGCAGCTATCCCTGTGTTGCACTAGGAGACTCAGCAATTAGCCTGCAAGTGGGCATTAGTCAGCCACCAAGGGGGGGAGCGATTATGGCTCTGTGGAAAAACCCAATTGAGTAATTTAACATGTTACTGATTTGTTAATATTAGGTAAGTTAATATTAAGGTTACATACGATTGCGTTCAATTTACATAATCAAATAACTAAATCGTATAATGTGGATTGTCTTCCAGACAACTGATGAAAACAAAATTTCTTGAAATGTCACGCAATCCGTGACATAGTTTTATCCTTTGCCATGCCAATGATGGAGATGCACATTCACCCTCTGAAAGGGTAAAAGATACAAAATAAACGCTCTCATGTTTGTGAACCTTTTATGTGCGAGCCAGCACGATTCCTATCAGGTTGTTCATCTTAACATGTGAACACACTAATTATATTAAATCGTATTACGTTACTTGTAATGCACAATTATTAAATCACACGTTAAATTTTGATTTAAAGCTTTCGTGACTGCAGTAATTCATATTCTTAGCTCTTTCGGTAAAGTCACGTTGAAGGGAAACAATAAAATAATAAAATATATATAAAACAATAAAAAATTCTCACGACGTTTCGACCATTACACAAACGGTCGTCATCAGGTGTGTCGGTTCGTGATAATTTTTTAATTGTTTTATATATATTTTATTATTTTATTGTTTCCCTTCAACGTGACTTTACCAAAAGAGCTAAGAATATAAATCACACGTTGTTGATAACGTACGGGGAACAGAACATTGCCGACACCGTGTGGAATCACAGTAATAATCAAAATATTTACCGACTCTTTTTAAGGAGGGTGTCACATTGAGACATTTGGCCACTATCATTAATAACTTGGAAGGAAACCGGAGAAACCCGACACATACGAGTGGGGTGACTGTCATCCCCTAGCCACCTCGCAGGCCCCATATGTACAACAACAACAACAACCCGGTGCTGGTGGTCGTCCCCCGTGCGTTTGCCACCCAGGATCAAACCTGCTCAGGAGGTCACAGTGGCGAGATGTTAACTACCTCGCCTGGTATGCAGGAGGTCACAGTGGGGAGATGTTAACTACCTCGCCTGGTATGCAGGATGTCACAGTGGGGAGATGTTAACTACCTCGCCTGGTATGCAGGATGTCACAGTGGAGAGATGTTAACTACCTCGCCTGGTATGCAGGAGGTCACAGTGGTGTGATGTTAACTACCTCGCCTGGTATGCAGGAGGTCACAGTGGGGAGATTTTAACTACCTCGCCTGGTATGCAGGAGGTCACAGTGAGGAGATGTTAACTACCTCGCTTGGTATGCAGGAGGTGACAGTGGGGAGATGTTAACTACCTCGCCTGGTATGCAGGAGGTCACAGTGATGTGATGTTAACTACCTCGCCTGGTATGCAGGAGGTCACAGTGGAGAGATGTTAACTACCTCGCCTGGTATGCAGGATGTCACAGTGGCGAGATGTTAACTACCTCGCCTGGTATGCAGGAGGTCACAGTGGTGTGATGTTAACTACCTCGCCTGGTATGCAGGAGGTCACAGTGGTGTGATGTTAACTACCTCGCCTGGTATGCAGGAGGTCACAGTGGAGAGATGTTAACTACCTCGCCTGGTATGCAGGAGGTCACAGTGGAGAGATGTTAACTACCTCGCCTGGTATGCAGGAGGTCACAGTGGAGAGATGTTAACTACCTCGCCTGGTATGCAGGAGGTCACAGTGACGAGATGTTAACTACCTCGCCTGGTATGCAGGAGGTCACAGTGGAGAGATGTTAACTACCTCGCCTGGTATGCAGGATGTCACAGTGGTGTGATGTTAACTACCTCGCCTGGTATGCAGGAGGTCACAGTGGAGAGATGTTAACTACCTCGCCTGGTATGCAGGAGGTCCGGGGGCTCGATCCCGACCCTGACACCTGCTGTATATTTGTAGTTTGCATTTTCTCACCGTGGTCGCGTGGATTCTTTTTGCCTTCGCATTTAGAAACACGCGTTTGGGGTATTTGGCTGCTATACATTACCACGTGATGAGACACTTCGTTGAGCGATCATTTGTGGCCAGATCGCTTCTGAAAAAGAGCTACATAGCTCAGTGGGCCTGACCTGTTAAAATAAAATACAAAATTAGTTATCGCCGATCCTGCTCGACGATAGCCCTCCATGAGGGGGAGGAGGGGGAGGGGGGTGGGGATTGTTCGTAGGCGTAGCGAGTGGCTGCGGGGCACGTGCCTCTCGGTAGTCGCTGTGCGTGCCGTCCAGCGCCAGCGAGTAGACGCGGTCTCGCGCGCCGACGAACAGCCGCTCGTGGTACTCGTCCAGCAGCGCGGTGCTCAGGTCCAGGCCGGAGCCGCCGTGTCCCCGGAACGAGGCCACGCGGCCCGACAGCCTCGCTTCTGCGACCCGAGCGCAGCGTGAGAGCGCGTCGAGTTCTCGTCCATCGGGATGACACGCGGCAGTCATCGCCCCCCCCCTCACCCACCCACCCACCACACGAGTGCGTTCTGGTGGGCAGCGCACTGAGTCACATTGTGCCCGTACGGGGATGCCTTGCTCCTGGGAAGGGTTGCCCTTCGAATGTTTGAGAAGAGATGCGACGTGAGTCGCTTGTCGCGTGTAATGCGCTCTAAGATATCCTGGAATGAAGGGCGCTGAATTCGAAGAAAAAAAAAACGAATCATTGTTAGTGATTAATTTTATTATTGGCACTCGCATGGTGGTTTTACCTTGCCGCAGATTGGTCCCGCGCTATGGAGCTAACCTGGGCTTCATTTCTCACCTGATATTTTCTGGAACGCTACAAGGCTGGCTGAGAGCAGGGATTGTCAGCATGAGGCGCTGCCACTAGCTTACAAGTAAGGCATATACATAATCATCCGATTTTATTCTTCCATGCATATTCCTATACTCCTACAAAAAGGTTTTTAAAAATGATTGGTTAAACAAAACGAGGTGAGATCGATGCGTTTGCGCCAAAATAATTCCCGGAATCGCGTTGCGGTCTATTTGGGTTCGATTTAAGCACTGGAACTTACCCTTGGTTAGACACATGGCCACTTGGCTCCCAGTGAAAGCTTACGAAGGTTAATGGGGTTAGCGTGTTTTATGGGTGTCTATAAAGGACAAGCGGCGACAGGCTACCGAGCATGCTGCTGGGGAAGGGGGGGGGGGCTGGCTGGTTAGGAGAAGGCTCAAGAGGACGCGACAAGAACGTTGCACGTCAGCTGACCAGAGCGACATCAAAGGACGACCCACGGGAGTGGAAGCAGATCAGGAGAGAAGAGGCACATAACAGGCACTCGTAGACAGCAAACGAGGTGGTGCAGCGAGAACGGCAGCAGATGTGCCCCGATCGGTGGCAAAACCAAAAAAAAACAGGCGACTGAAGAGGAATGGGTTACGTAATGTATACAAAAATAAAAAGTGTATAGATCTGTAAAAATAAATTTAAGTCATTTCCTGCTCGACGGGCAATGAGACATTGGTGCTTATCCCCCCCATAATAGAGGGTTTTTTTTGGGTTCGATCGCGTAAATATAAATGTGTCGTTCAGCCCACCACCGCCGGACACAGCTAAATAGTAAGGTTTCTCACGTCAACAAAACGTGCCACTCGTTTAGATTGACACCATCTAACCCATAAAAACCCTCGCTTTTGGATAATATTGGTCGCAAATGCCTACTACGTGTTAAACTGGTTATCTCCCGTTCACAGCCCGAAGTTCGTGGTGAAAATGTCTCAATCTTATTGTCGGGGGCGAGTCTATCCGCGGGACAACCACTGTTGAGCTTCCCACAGAGTGGTACTAGTTTTATCGACCACAGAGGGTTGGTCGTCTGAGGCATCACCCAACCAGGCTTTTAACTCTCAGCCTTCTGATTGCGAGCCGCCCGCTCTACCGCTGAGACACCTGGGCGGAGAGTGAAATGTGAACTCATTCTTTTTAAATGTCGCCACGTCTTTAAGGGCATCTGTCGCGTGGATAAAGCCACGTATCAAAGTGACTTATGAAGTAGTCTCTCTCACGTCGTCTTCCGAGGCATTTTCTGACACAAGGTGCATGGTAGTGCACCGCTAGCTGCAAGAGTTCCACATTAAGACGTCGTCTTATGCCACACTGCCAATAGCACACTTTAAAATATAACTATGGTTAAAACAGTTGATACTGGAATATCCATAATAATCCCAATAGTAGGAAAGTATTATTTGTATTTTAAGTACGTAATCCTAATCTACTGTATGCATACTATGTCAGTAAAATCAGTGGCCAGGCGTAGTTTAATGTACAGAAAGAAGCCGTAAAATTACTGCAAGCCTTTGTGAAGAATTAACACAAACGCAATTGTAATACTGCGTTAGCGCGTTGTGTGCAAGCACACAAAAAATCCAACACACCCATCTATAACACTACCGTAATAGAACAAATATTATTTTCTCTTTTTCATAGCTATGAAGAAAGGCCATTTCCTGGGGTGTCACCTATTACATACATACATATATTTTTCCATCTTGTAGGGCAGTACTTGATATGTGAACATTGCCTTTTTGAAATTCATTTAAATCTAGAATTCATTTTAAAAAACTCAAAACTAACGGGAAAAAAATGAGCCCGTTCCTAAAAGCAGAAATCTCTCGTCTGGAAACACCACGACACGCTAGCAAAGGTTGTGATGGCCTGTGAAAATACCTGCCAGGATAAAACAACTGGCACACGCGTTCACTTCCACTAAGAGCAGCCAGTCGCTTTAGCGCAGAGTTGCATGCTTGGCCGCGTACAGAAAGGAAGTCATCGTGACAGCGTCGAGATGTTTATATATACGTGTGTGTGTGTGTGGACTCGTCCAGTCTGGCACAGAACAAACCGAGACGTGGGCTCTTAAAGGGAAAAAAAACACAATACCTCACCACGCTCAAGTCCACGATTCAAAAAGTCAGAGCGATTTCCTGCTCGAATGAGCAACGAGACAGTGCTCACATCTCCTGCATATAGCCCTGAGCCAGTGGTGGACACTCCTGTGCCTGGGGGTGAGTCTACCCGACATCCACCGCTGTTGTCTTCACCACACAAAATGCAAATCGTCCTCATCGGCCCTGGAGGGACGGTGGGGGGAGTCTTTATTTATTTATTGCCATGGGCGGTGAGGCAACGCCGCTCCCAACCAAACTGGGCACCTCTATTAATTTTGTTTCAGTTGTTTACGATTAAGTTAAAACATGAATTTATTAACTATATGCGCCCGCGATTCCTCATGTGAGGGACAAAGCGAACACCCCCCCCCCCCCCCCAAATATAGAAGTCAAACTTCGCCTATGTTTTTCGTGACTTGCTTACATTTTCTCTACTTTGCACTCCTATCGTTGTTTGATGTTGTAACTTGCTGATGGTGTAACTTGCTGATGGACATCTGTGAAAAAAGAGCTTCACAGCTCATCGGATTCCTCCACGATAAACACAGATTCTGAGTCAACCCCTAGACCAAGATTCCAACTCGTGAATCTTCAGACTGCGAGCGAGCCGCTTGCCCTACCCCCTGCTCCGTCATTCTTGATGTATACCATCCCCATGTTAAAGCGTCAGTTGTATGATAAGGATCTTTTGTTAATGGTGAACGCACATTCATAGATACAATGATGATAGAGAAAGCAACATTTAAATGTAAATGCTCTACACATCTTGCACCTACATCAATACAATTATTCCATGTTTCATCACTCTCATCTGTATGATGTGGAGGCACTGCTTCCGCAATGTTCAATCACCCGTGGAGATGATAGTTGAGGGGGGCATAAGAGAGCAGCTGGGTACTTAGACAAATATCATTCTGGATTTTTCCTTCAGAAAATATTTTTCACCAACACGCACGAACGTTGCGGGATGGGCAGCAGTGGATTGACAAATGGCTGTGGATTATGCGAATTACATTTTAGATTTTGATTTAAAGCTTTCGTGACTGCAGGGATTCATATTCTTGGTTCTTTCGGTAAAGTCACGTAGAAGGGAAACAATGAAATAATAAAAATAAAAAACAATAAAATTCTCACGACGTTTCGACTGCAACACAAGCAAACAGCATCAGGTGTGAAAACCACAGCAAGAAAAATGTTAACGTTAAAAAACCGCCACTTTTTTCAAAAAATTCTTGCTGTGGTTTTCACACCTGATGATGATTGCTTGTGTTGCAGTCGAAACGTCGTGATAATTTTATTGTTTTATATTTTTATTATTTCATTGTTTCCCTTCTACGTGACTTTACCGAAAGAACCAAGAATATACATTTTAGATGTTTTTATTTAATTGGAACACTGTTCATGGTAATGATTATTTTGTTTACTCTTTGAGGTTTGTTGTATCACTATTATGTGCAATGCGATTTAGTGAAGAGGGGTTGCCAGGAATAGTTGCAGATATTACTCGCCACTGAAGTCAGCCGTGGCCGGGAATCGAACTTAAGTTGGCGTGGTTCATAGTGCAGTGCGCTGACCACGGCAGCACCACTCCAGCCATGTATTTTATTTAAAGAGACAATAAATTTGGGCTCCTCGCTGATTCTACTCATACGAAGCACCCTTTGCAAAGGCATAAGATGAATCACAACTGCAATGTTACATCCTAGCTCTACAGCAAAATGTGGCTCAATACTGCTTACGAAAATAAACAGATAAACTTCAGTTAACCTAGGAGCGGTCACAAACGTACGTGTTAACATGCTTGTAAAAAAAAGCTCCTCCCTGTGCAGACCAATCCATAATGCATATTAGGCAGCACTTGAAGTTGGCGTTAGATTTCTGGATAGGACTCGTGTATGTATATTGAACTTTTTTCACACCGTACGTAGCCAACCGTGCTAATTGGAGGTGAAGGGGGAAGGACAACAAACTAAACATAAAAGGCAGTTCTAAATAAATTAGTTTTCAATCCAGTGGCTTCCTAATATCGGAATGAACAGCGGTCGAGTCGGCCGCAGAAGCGTAATGTGAACGCACGCGATGCAGTGGTCGTCTTTATTTGATTGCTCGACAAAAGCCACTGCGAGGATAACCGGAGTTCGTGTGATGGTTTGTCGGAGCATACTTCACTATATGGACGACAAAGTAAACCACGACAGTCTACGCTCCTTCAAAGCAAGAATCGCAAAACTGCGCGATCTCTCTCCGGAAGCTATCTCGATGTAGCTTGCAAATATCGAAAATTTCATATCTCCTTAACTTATTGCATCGATACGCAATAAAAACAATAGCACATCGGGGAAGAGGGGGGACCGGCTATCACCTGCCACGAACGTTAACCATGGCCGAGAAATCGAACTCAGGTTACCGGGTTCTTACACAGCGCAGCGGGCTAAATCCTGTGATACGCCTTCACCCCGAACGCACACTACACGTGCATACCGAACACATTGTCACACATGCCTAACGGCCAATGTATGCATCCTACTAGACGTGTCAATACTATGCACTCAAGGTGCCCTGTAATGTCAGTGTATGTGTAAGACCTGTCGGCTCACACAATGCCAATCCATTTTGAGATGCTGTTACATTTAGACAGTACGTTTGCAATCCAAAGATTCACGAGCCACTGACGTGAGCCATGGGCACGGAATCAACCTCCGGCCCCCCCCCCCCCCCGAGTTTATTGCGCAGTGCGCTGACCACTTCGCACCATTCGCTGCTTCTTGAAACTGGAGGATCATTATCAGCAGACGATGATAATGATGATAATTATTTGTTTTACGCTGTAGGTTTTCGCGGTTTTGCTGTACAGCTCCCCTGTTTTCGGGTTGCACCCGCGAGTTGTCCGGCACGATGTCCGACGTTTTCGCCCCACGTTTTTGCTCCAGTTGCTGCGAGGAAGCTCCCGGCTCGCGGAGCCGGAACGTCGGACATCGTGCCGGACAACACGTGGTGCGACCCGAAAACGCATCGGAAAGAGAGGACCATTTCGTGCACGAACCGGCAGCCGCTTTTTGCTCGCTTTCACCGCAGCCCGCCTACCTTTGTAGGAGACGCGGAGTCGCAGGTTGTCTCCCTTCGTCTCACTCATCACGAATGACCACAGCAGCAGGTTCATCATCAGCAGGGCGCCGCGCCCTGACAGTCCACGCCGTCGCCCCATGACTCTCCACACAGGCACGCGCACTCTCACGCCGACTGACTCGCTCGCTCGCTCGCTCACTCACTCCCGTCTCATTCCAGAAGGCTACGGCGCCCGATGCTTCCAAAAGCAGCCTCCTTCCTGGCCCACCCGCCCAAGATTGTGCAACCTTCCCCCGCCCCACCCCCCTCCATCACTCTCCCCTTCCCACGCCTGCACGAGGGGTGAGAGTAAAAAGGGATAAGGGGGTGGGTGGCGCAGTGGTGGTGCCGGCCCATTGAGCGGCGGGGTGGGTGAAGGGGGCTAGGCAGCAATTATTTTACCCACCCCACTCCTCCGCTCCTTTCAATTGCGTGTCTAGACTCCTTGTGAGACGACAGAAGAGATCGATACGAGAGGTGGAGTTGTGGCAGAAGGTGCAATCAGATGTGGCCAGGTCGCTTCTGAAAAATAAGCCAATAGCTCAGTGTGGTTTAGCTGGTAAAATAAAATAAAAATTCGTTTATTATTTCGAGTGATTTGCTTACCTTTTCTATACTTTGCACTCCTATTGTGTTTTTTGGTATTGTTTGTTGTTGTAACATTTTGACCCGTCCATTCTGGACATGTGTGAAAAAAAATATTTATAGCTCATCGCATCCCTCCGGTATAAATTAAGATTCTGAAATGCAGATGTATATGTGTATGTTTTCCACCTGAGGACGACTGCTTATGTTGCGATCGAAACGTCGTTATTTATTTTATTTTATACCTACGTGACTTTACCGAAAGAACCAAAGAGTATGTATATATGTATGTTGAACTTCTTTTACACCGTGCATAGCGAACCGTGCTAATCCATACAGATCTTCGACAAGAGACAGAGATGTCGTGAAATGAGCTCTGATAGCTCGTCTGAGGTCACGTGCTATAATATCATATCTATAATGTCTATAATCTCTTTAATCTCTAAAATGCTATAATGTCATATCTCATCTCAATGCATCTCCTGTCGATCTCTTAACTATACACCAGTCTCTATCACCGATGAATACTTTGCCGTATTATATATCTTCTGAATGTATTACTTTCCCTCGTCTGAGTGATTCTCTCTCCTTTCTCTTCACAAGCTATATTGCCATGCTGTGTCTGTTCAATATCACCACACCTAAATGAACAGCTCTCATTTCGCTACGTTTATCTTGTCTACATCTGCCTCATCCCCCCCATCTCCGTCACGTCTGCAATCCTCTTCTCTCATCTCTACAACTGCGTCTTTTGTTTTCATCACCAGTGAGCTCTCAGTGCATCTCATTCTCTTGCCGTACCGTCTCTCCTCTCATCTCTCAGCATCTCCACCTTGTCAACGTCACCCTCAGCTCACTACATCAAACTTTCCGTTGTCTGCTTCTATATTTCAATCTCCCATTCCGGCAAAGAGTTCCATAGTTACGGAGCAAATATCGCGAAAGCTGCAAACACGGTTGGCTACGTATGGTGCGAAAGAAGTTCAGCATAAAAATAATTGTAAGTTGCACCTGAATATATATCTGTGTGTGTTGCCTACATACTCGTCAGCGCACCAGTAGCTTATATATTAAGAGGACGGAGGCTCAAACATAAGTGTCGCGTAAGGCTCCCAATGGGGCTAGCACTGCCACTGGTCTGAAGACATAGTACACATACATAAATAGCACATTATACATACTGACAGTGTACGTATACCAAGTATAAATACACTCAAGATGAGTTATTATGTTAGTGCATCCTCAAGACCTCTCTGCTAAAACAATGTCATTCCATCTCGAGATGCGGTTGCTTTTAGACCCGACATAAATTCTTGCTGCATGAGAAAAAAAAAACCTTGATTGATGTACCTACGGACTGGCCTTGCCCTGCAGTGGGACGTTACAGGTTGACATCAACAACAAAAAAATACTTACATTCCGTTAAGATAAGATGACAAATCCATTAATATAACCTTTATATGCTCTCACTGGAGTGCAGTAGTCATGCGTTTAAATATTTCAAAATTCGAAGTGATTTCTTTCTTAAATGAGCATTGAAGTGGTGCTCGACTTTTGTTTATTGCCCTAAGCCGTGGTGGAAATTCCATATTCCTATGGCAGGGGAAAGTCTATTCGTAGGACAAGGAGTGGTTAGAATTGTATCAACTTGCAATCCGTCAGATTGCGAGCCGCTCGCTCGACTGCTGAACCACGTGGCCGGATTATGGAGTTTTGTAAATTTTTACAATCGACAATGTTAGCAAGACAAACGTGTAACATTATTGAATGTTGGTGCACACGCGTCTCTCTGAAACTTGTGCAGTGGTGGGGGGAGGGGTACTCAATGTGTCTCATCGAATGTTTTCCCCTGCGGTGGATACACATCGAAATTGCCCACGAAACATGTGGAGGAATTAACGCTTCACAGACTACCGTTGGGCCCGTTTCAAAAGGAGTCAGACGCTCTGCTCCATAGGCAGCGGCGTTGCCGTGCAAAAGAAACGGACTCTGAGCTATCCTACGACGCTAGATCAACATTAAATATACGGCGTTTATTTGTACGCATGGCTGAGGGCAAAGTGAGGAGGGTCTGTTGTATGTGATGTGGCAACTGCAGTATGTCCATCTGGAAGAGTTTGTATAAATTAAGGGGTATATTTTCCCACACTTTAATAAGTAAAAGGGGAAAAAACCCACCAACAATCTACCCCTGCAAACAAAACAAATACTGTCAGTGTTTCCCACTGCTTACTCACGGCCCAAGGCCGCACCACATTTGTTTTGCATATTTCTTTTTTTTAATGCAAAGTCTAAGTGTTTATACATATATTCAACCAATTATCAAGGCATTGAAATTGTTAACAGAGATTTCGACTTGCATGGCTCATTAACTACCTTCAGTCAAAGATCAGAAACTTATTTTATGAATTTATGCTTTCTTTTAATGTAATGGTTTAATAATTATTATGCTGCTGTACGTTATTTTCAGCTTATTACACTAATACGATCTTGATAACACAAAACTCCGCTTATCTGTGTGTTAATGTGGCAGACATTCATTTGCCCAAGTCATGTTTGTTCAATTAAGGCCTCTTATATACGAGGTTATTCCCTGGGAAAACACACATAATATGACGAACTCACTGTCCATCATTACTTATCCTTGAAAACAATGTGAATGGCATGAACAATTTCACACCTTTAATAAACCACTTCAACTCCTTATCTATGAATAAAAGCGGATAATGAATATTAGGATGAATGCGCTGCGTGAATATTTATCTGAGAAGAAATGTGGCTCATAGGAATACGTGAAGGCGCGCGGTACTGGGGGGGGGGGGGGGGGGGGGGTGATGGCTAAGCACGTGGCCTGTAAGCCAGCACTGTGGAGTTCAGAGTCGGTGGATCACGAAAAATGTTGTGATTATCGAGGAGACACCATACCCTAGCACACCACGGGGAAGTGGACTCTACCGATGTTATCTGTATGGGTTTTCTCTGGGCGCTCCAGTTTCCTCCCACATGTAAACGCTTATTCGTTAATCGGCTGATAACACTTCACAATATAGAGGACCGTAGATCTTTTGGGAGGGGGGGGGGGCATTTTTTGCCGGCACATCGTGTCACTGCCTTACCGCTCCTCTGTGGTTCCTCGCCCCTCAGAGTCGATCTCTCTCTCTCTCTTGGAGAGCGAGCGAATACTGTGCCGCGTGTTACAGTTAAAATAAAACAATAACTATCATAAGTAACCTTTCCAATTCCGATGACGTACGTCATCAGTTTTGATTTCGATTCCGTTCTGATGACATACGTGTACGTTCATAGTAGGAAGTAAAAGGCCATGCAGGAGGGCATGTGGCACAGTCAGCTATGCTAGAGTGCGGTTGTGCCACTACAGTTTTCTGCGGTGACTACAATGTTTTTAAAAACAGCAGTGCTACGCCTCTCGAAATAAAATTAACGATAACCGCTTGCACGTTCCAAAATTCAGCAGTAGACGGGACCCACCCTGCAACTTGCAGACGTCTCGGAATGGAAAAGGGTTATATATATACGTAGTGTATTGGTGCAGGGTAATGTGCCCTATCTTGCTTTTAAAAACAGAAGTGTATTCTGGACAGCCTTAGTTTACTTCACTAGGTACGTCTTCCAATACCACAATGACCAATGTGTCTGTCAAACGTGCTGTCTATATATCAGATCCAATCCGTGGTTGAAAACCACATTATCAATTTCAGGTCCTCGCACACCTTCTTATACTGTGCACATAACTTAAAACTCAACGTATTAGTCAATAACAATTCCTTGAAAGGAAAAAAATATAACACGTGACCTTCTGGGCATTGGCCCTTATTCATCACCTCATCATGTGTTGAGTGTTTTGTTATTTGTGCTTGTGCACCACTGTCGCCGCAGTATCAACAAATAATTGTGTAAACAAATAATTGTGTAAACAAATAATTGTTGATACTTTTCATTTGACCCAGTGGACAAAGAGACCGTCAAGCACTCCTAGGAGGGCCTATATTTACGCGAGTCTGGCTAGGTGGCACAGAGGGAGGGTGTGCGGAAGGTCACGAGGTCAAATCCTAGTCAGGGGACAACACGGCCGTTTCTCCCTCTGGATTAATACAATTAATTCCACTTTATGTATATATTTATTTTGAACGTCCTTCGCATCGTACGTAGCCAACTGTGCTAATCGGAGGTCCGGGGGAAGGACAACAAACTAAACACAAACAGCAGTTCTAACGAAATTAGTTTTCAATCTAGATTTTAAAGTGCATAGCTCCAGTGGCTTCGTAATATCAGAAGGAAGAGCGTTCCAGATGGCTGCAGAAGCACATCTGAAAGTGTGCGATGCAGTGACCATCTTTATTCGATGGCTACCCAAAAGCCGCTGCGAGGATTACTGGACTTTTGGGGAAAGTGAACAGTACTCTTTGGTTCTATTGGGTAAAGTCACGTAGGTAAAAAATAAAATAACAAAAATCACGACGTTTCGGCCACAACACAAGCGGCCTTCATCTAGAAAAGTGAACAGTCATTGTCCTATGGGAAGACTCGCCCTCGCCATAGAAATTTGGAATGTCCACCGTTGCCTCGGGGCTATAAATGGGAGATGATCGCAGCCCCACGCTCAATTGAGCAGGAAGCCAGCTTGACGTTGTTGACTCCAAGACGTCTCAACG